AAGCAAAGCAGATTTTCTTTTTAACAAATCTATTTTACATTTATACGATTGTATTGCTGGTCAAATTTAACCTTAAAGGATCTCACAAAAAATACTCCATTGACTCCATTTGATTCACAATTTAATTTCGGTCAATCGAAATATTTCAATTTCCAATTAAAAATTAATAATTATAAAGAAACAGTTGAATTCAAAAGCTGATGATGAAACTTTCCAAGCGCTTGAATGGAACGGAAAATTTTTTCTTTGGAGCCGCACTTGTGCTCCCACAGAGAGTGGCGATGCGTAAGACGCGTTCATTACACAAGCGCGGTCGGAAATGTTGAAAGAGCAATTAAACTTTCAAGACGCCACTCAAACATCCTTTGCTTCTTGTTGCCCCCTCGCATTTTTTGCCCGGCGGGCGGATTTACTGCCGATTTGTTTGTCAGCGTTGCGCGGCGGACGCGACGAGTGAATTATCAGCCCAAATCCGCCGACGGCAAATTTAAATAAATTGCTCGCGGCGAACGCGTAAGCATGTGCTCGCCAATGAGTTATTTATTTGGACGCGCAATTTATTAGCGTTTACCAAACGTTTCGCTGCCCGACTGCTGCACACCATCGACTCCGCCGCTTGCGTGCTTTATTGCATCTTGAAATTAATTGCCCGAAAATTCCGAAGTACTTACTTCATTCAGGAAAATTTGGCTTATCTGAGAAAAAAAATAAAAAAAAAATCATAATTAAGCCCGATAATTTATAGTTTCAATAAGAAAAGAGAAAACAACTCAATTTTATTTCATTTGTAATCCTGAAATAATTTATTTTTATCTCTAGACTATTTTGAATGTTTTTATGTTGTAAAGAATAAAATGTAGCAATCTGGTGGTGTAATGAAAAATCTGGTTAAAATTAGAGATAAATCCATAGAGGATGTTGCCAAGTCACTTAAAATAATCACGGTTTCTTAATTCGTTCAGTTTCACCCAAAGAAGAAATAAGAATCGGAAGATCTCAAATTTCAAAACGGGCCTATAACTTTTCAGTTCACTGTTTGAGATTAAAAAAATCTTCTTTTCACCAGGATAATCAGGAACATTTTCATTTTTACGATTTTGGACTGACGAATAAGATTAACAAATGGAAAAAGAATGAAATGAAGAATAATTTTTTTGGTGCAATCTTATTTTCTAATTTTCCCAAACAATTGAAATTAAATAGTTCATTAAAATTATCAATAAATATTAAAAATATGACTGAAAAAGGTCAAACCAAATTTTATTAGTGAGGAGCAATTTATTTTTGGATATTTTTGGACCATTATTGAACCAACTGACTTTTATTTTAATAACAGAACAGTTTTGTCTTTAAAAAATAAATATCAAGCATAAATCTTTAATTGGATTAAACTGTAGCGACTAAATCCTGTTATCTGTTGGAAAGTGATCATCGCTGAAAGAAAATTAGCAAAATCTGCGATTTTGTTGTTCGCAGAGTGCAACGCCTGCTCGTGCAAATTACCCCTTTTGGGAAGCCCCCCAGGGAAGACGCGGCGGCACCCGGGCAATTTCAGTCGTCGCGCACAAAGGCAGTTTTTGCGACGAATAACTTCAAACAAATTCGCTCCCCTAAAAAGAAGTGCGCGCCGAAAATGGAAAGTTTTCTTTGTGGGACGAAAGGAAGATTGAATGGCGTGCGTGTGCTTTGTGTATGACAAGCATAGAAAGGAGAAACGCGGCCCCCAAACGGACTTCAAAGCGCAACGCTTCAAGTGCTCGTATGCGCACAATGCGGCTGCTGGGTAAATAAATAATTTCCGTGACAGGTGAATATCAATTTCGAGCCCCTGATTAATGGACGCGGTGGAAAAGTAAAAGGGAGAGAAAGCCTCTTCCTATAACTCAAACGTGTTGATCCAGCAAATTTGAAGTATTCATAAAACTTCAAATAAAAAAGTAGAGAACTGTAGGAGAGGGAGACAGTGACTTTTTTAATCGAATTCCCAATTCGAGACTGAAATATTTGGTACTTTTTCTGCTATAAAATAATAAATAATAAACCAGCGGAAAATCCTTTCAATCTAATAAGTAATATCAAATCCATCAAATTCAATTCCTTGATGGGGGGGGGGGGGGGTTTTAAAGAGATTTTAGGTATTGTCATTATTGAAGACACAAATTAAAAGAAAAAGAAAATTCCGTTTTTAAATGCAAATAATTGAAAAGATCAATATGGAAAATGCGTCATAAAATAAATTTCAGTTATTTACTTAAATGTGTATTGAAAAGAAGGATTTTAAGATTAGCTAATAATTATTCAAATTTTCTCGGAAGCGAAATTCAATTTTAATTAATTGGAGGCAAACATCAGAGTAAGGACAAAACAAAGTGACTTTAAAATGAGTCAAAAATTTTATTCAGAAAGCAAAATTTATTATGAGAGCTGAAACAATTATTTCTCAGTCCATTTTTTTTAATATCCATTTCGACGTTAATTTTATTTACAATTTTTCTAGAGATATATATTAATTTACTTTCTTGCAAAATTTTTAACCTCACCCATCGGAGTATCTCATTCAAATTAACTATTCAAAAGCACTGCTTGAAAGACTTTTACTTAACCACTAATCAGATTTTCAGCCTTTTCAGGGTTAAAAAGTCAAAGTTTGCCATAGGGACGTGTATTCAAGAGAGACAACAAACTTTGCATTGGCGAGGCTCATCATCGTGTGTCGACTTTTGGGCTTTCACTTTTTTCCACCGACGAGAGTTAAAAAGCGGCTGCACCGAGTCGCAACTTCAAACGAAAGAAAGCAAAAGCCGGGCGTGCAATTTTAAAAATTCATCACCTCATTCGGGCGTTTGAAGTCTTGCTTGTTTCGCAATCAGCAGCGGCGCGGCGGCAACGGAGGAAAAAGGAGATGAAAGAGAAGAATTTCGTGCGCAGCTCCCTTCTCGCTCTCTTGACGAACGGGCGGGCATAGGGGTGCCGAACGCGATAAGGGAGGAAAAAAGCTAATGAATGCACGGCCAGCGACTTCAAAGCTCAGCAGCGCGCGTTGCTTGAGCACTTTTTATAATTACCTGTTTTCTACATGTGCGTTCGCCAAAATATTCTGCATGCGTGGAAAGTAGGCAGAGTGAGTGGTGGCTTGTTTGGGGTTGAAAAAGCAGGTCGGAGTTTGAAAAAAAACAAAGTATATTTTGCAGAAATCAGCAGAGAAATTTCAATGTTATTGAATACTTTGTAATTTTTTAGGTTTTCATTTAAATTAAGATCCTACCTGATGAGTCTTATTTAATTTTTAAAAAATATTAAAGTTTTATCCTAGTAACATTTAAGAGCGTAGGTAAGCCTTAAAATAAATTTTCAGGGCGAAAATAAATTTCAAACGAATATGATTAAAAATCATTTTTTCTATTTACATAATCAATATTAACTTTGAGCTCTGATATTTACTTCTCTGGGTGGAAATTAATGATTCTATTTCCAGCCTCTCAACGTTTTTGTACCCGTTTGCTTTTTGAATGAGTTAAAAATGCGAAAAAGATTTGCTTGTTTACAATACTAACTAGCTCTCTTCTTGCCCTCCTTGAAAAAAGAGAGATTGCGGCAACTTTGTTCAAAGCAAGTGCGTATTCTCTTCTCTGTTTCTTTTGATGACGAAAAATAAAAATTCTCTTTTGCGCCGAAAGTTTTTAAGTGAGTTTGCAAAAAAGTTGAAGGGTCGTTGAAAATGATTAAAAACAAGCTGAAAACGCATAATTGGCCCCCGCACAAGTACAGCTCTCAAATGTCGAGAGCTCCAAGTCGGAGAAGACTGAAATTTTATTTGCTGAATTAAAAAAAAATTAGTTGGAGAAATTTGCGCAAAAATCTGTGAATTTTGATTTATAAATTTTTGCATTTAACAACAAAATTCACAAATAAAGCATAAAAAAAACGATAAAATATGTATTTTAAAATTATTGTTTCTTGTGGTAAATTTCACATTTAACTAAATTTTTTTTATGGAATTTTTTACATCCTCTTTGCTCATATTTTCCTCCGTCGTTATTTTTTGCTCCGAAATTTTCGCGTCATTCGATGAGGACTTCATTCACGACATGCGATCCTGTAATGACGGGCGCTGCATTATATTAGTCCAATTTCGACCTCATTAATTCCAGCGCGCGTCTCCGCCGTGTAATTTTATACGACGCGAGACGGACTTTAATGGGGATCGCACTACAAAAATGCGGCTTTGCTCACTTCTTCTTGCCATCCCTCACGTGTGAAATTTCGCAACCCCGAGTATGTCTCAACGCAGCATCCCTTGTGTGCACCTCTGCGCCTACGCGTTGCTAGGCAACCGCTTCATCCCTCCGCCGCTTCAAACTGCATGTCCAGGCATAATATAACAGGCGCAAGGGAGGTGCTAAATAAATAAACTCTGCTATAAATCTCCGTTTTGAACACCCTTCCAATGCGTTATTATCCGTTTTCTCTCTTTGTTTACTCAGTTTTTACTCATATTTATCCATGATAAATGTATGTTAGGAATATGTTCTCTTTATTATAATAATTTTTAAATTTATTTTGAAAGAAGAGAATTAGCAGAATTAATGCGTTTAAAATTAATATATAAAAATGCAACCCGCGACTCTCTTCTGTTCATCCAGTTGCATACCTGCAGATTTCCACGTTTTCAATACTTGATACTTGACCCCAATATTTTGTTTAATACCTTGAATAACAAAATGTATTGACAATTAAGTTGAATTTAACATTTCAGTTGAAGTTTTATTGAGAAAATTAAAAACCACATGAAAGCGTAGGTAGTTTATTTCTATTTTTTAATTATACAATAATACAAAATTAATTTATTTGTCATGCACGCACTGCCATTTTTTGCTTTTTCTTAAAATATTTTAACGTTGAACATTGGACTGTTAAAACTAATCACATATTATGTATGATTTACACTGCTTGATTAAAATCAGACGCCCGTAATAGCTAAAATTAAACTCGCATACAAATCTATTAAAATTTACTATCAATAAATTTTATTGCAAGATAATACAGAGAGCTTAATTTTTCATGGTCATGCATATAACCACGCGAAAGTGCACACTTTTGCGCAGAGTTTCCAAAAATACACCAAAAGTATGGGCTACTTTCACTCCACTAAACACTTCTTAAAAATATAATATAACTGGCCAACGCCATAAGGTCAACTTATTGATTCATGCTCTGAAAAACCAGGAAATCTCGATTGCTGCCAAAATTTATTGAGGAATTAAATTTTTCCCTAATTTTATCTCAAGGAAATGAGACAATTTAATCTTTTTCTTATTCTAATCAATTCTAATGTGCCGTGTCATAGGCGGACTCTTGCATAAATTATCAAAGAATAAAATAAATATAAATAAGTGATCAGGAAGGAGTCTTTTTTAGCTCGACCTTGAGTTTGGCAAGCAGCACCTCTAAACGCACGAACAACGACTCGATGGAAGTGTAGCTGGACCAGCTGGCCGCCAATCTGTCCATGTTGATTTTGCCGTCCCGCTTGATCAGGTCGTGGCTCGGGTCGTGCAGTTCCGGCGCCAGCACCTTCAGAGTCGGTGGCGAGTACGGAAACTCGTTGGTGAAGCACATCTCCAGCAGAATGTGGTCCACACCGTTCAAATACATTTCCTAATACAAAATTTATCAAAATTAATAAAATAAATAAATAAAATCCCCATCAACAACAAAGTTCAAATTATTTTGATGGGAAATATTTGGATTTCAAATATGATGAGTTTTTCAAAATTGCAAAAACTCATCAATTTTGCAATTGTGACTCGGATTATAAAATTTTGTCTCTTCACATACGAATGGAGGGATCTTTAAGGTGCGTGAAGTGTGGAGGCTCAGTGCAAAACAACTGATATTTGCTTTATGGTTTTTAAACCTTTTAAAATAATTTGGAACTTTTATTGTTATTGAGGGATTGATAATCTGACTGTGAAAAACATTTCTATTAATACTTTGCGTATAAAATATTTACCTGTATTTACACAAGATTGATCTAAAATTAATTAAAAAAAAACACAAGTTTATAACTTTGAATTTTTTTTTAACAAATTAGACATTTCCAGTTTTCCGGGCTTGACAACTAAATTTTATAATAAATCACAAAATTTGTAAGCTAAGCAATAAAAATTTACAAATTCCCAAAAATGTGATTAAAAAAGACAAATTATTGTAGGATTGGAATATGAGATGATTTTAAAATTAATTTGAAAAATTATATTGACCTGGCACAATTCCGAGTCAGGATCAACGTGGTACATCTCAACCTCCCAGGTGGTGAAGTCCTTGTCCTTGCGTTCTAGGCCGATGCGCAGGTGTACCGACGCCTGCAGGGCGGTGAGTTCCTTGATGATGCGCTTCGCTTGGACAACCATGGCGTGGTTCTCCAGAGAGGCGCCAGGCACAATCGGACTGATACGTTTCGGGGTGCCCATCTGCGAGGACGAGGAACTCGAACAAGACGAAGACGAGGAAAATGAAGTGCCACCAACACCGCCAGGCCCTGTTATCTTGATTGTGATCTGCTCTGATTTTTCTGAAAAGTTTAATTCGTTTACTTTATTTAAAACTAGAAATAAATAAAATTCCATTTGTTATGCTTAATTAATTATTATTTCTTTCGATTTTGCTTCTAATTTTTAATATGACCCTTTCTTAATATCCTCAAATTGGAGCCTTATGAGTTATTATAATTGCAATAAAATTATATTTCAGGTTTAGTTAAGATTTGATATATATGGAGCTTTTTGAATTGAAGTATACAAATCACAAAAATTAAAAAACTGCAGAATTCGCAGAAGGTTGCAATTTTAACTTTATTGTTATTAAATTACACATTTTCCTTACCATCGATATGAAAAATTTACATTTCCTCGTTATCAACGGTTTTTTTAAACATATTTTTAACACATTTCTCCAGATTCCAGAAAAAATAATAAATTTACTTTTTTATTATCATTAGTGATAAGATTTGTTTAAAAATTTTAAAATAGTAAATAGTTATTTTGCACAGACCGTTTTTGAACCATACAAAAATCATTTTTAATAAAAAGTTAAAAATATTTGCAATATTTGCACTTTCTCAAAGCGAAAACTGATATCCAAGTTTCTACGCAATATTTTTCTGCAATTCGCGGTTAGACTATTAGATTATAGTGAGTTAATGCGCATCGATCTCCATCTTTCCAACCTCTGCCGTAAGCCGCGGGCAAACTCGCGAGAGATCAGCAAAAAAATATAATATAATTTAACATTTAACATAAAAACTCACCTTCGGGAAGCAAAATTCGTCGGTAGAAAGCCTCTTGGTTGAAGTTGAGCCCGTCAGGAATGTCCGTCTCCACTTTTCCGTGCACTTTGCCCATTACTTGTTCGCTGGACCCCTTTTGCAAAAATGATTTAAATCACCAACAGCGAGCTTTTTTTTTCAGTAAACAAAAGATTGTGTATTTGCGAATTGCGCACCATCACGAGAGAGAAAGAGAAAAACCAGCGTGCTTAAAACAAAAACAAAACGAGCGACACGTTCGCGGAAATTTCAATGCCAACGAATTGTGCAGGATGGACTGGATTATTATTTTTTTGTTTTATTTCTGGCTCGGTTATAAGAGACGCGGCGTGTCATTGTGAGAGATGCACAAAAGAAAGAGACGAGACGCATTTGGGCTTTATTATTTTGTTTGCTCTATATATTCGTGAAGGCAAGAAGGATCTAGGCAATTATTAATTTTGCCGTGGACGTAGGGCGAGATGAATGAATCATCGTTAATAAATTTGTATAATGGTGTTGTTTTTAAATGTGTCGTGATATATTCCAGTGAATATATCTAATTACAAGAAATGTGATTGCGTAATCAAACAATGAGAACATTTCTCGAGAAAAAGGTTCAATGTTTTCTATCAGAATCAGTGAAAGATAAGCACGTTTTTCAAAATGATTACAAACTTCAAAGATAATAAATTTTGTGCAAAACAAAAATATATTTGAGTTAAGATTTTTGCAACCCATCATTTCTTTCTGCAAAATCAATGTCATAGTTCGGAACGAAAAAAATCAAGGGCGTTGAACTTGAAACTTCCACAATAAATAATAAAAATCGTCAAGAAAATTTGCTTACCTATGGAAACTGTGCGCGCGCGAGGACTTTTGTAACTGCGTGTTTCTTATGAATGAACCTCTCTCGAGCAATGGGATAATTTCCTTTCTAAAAAACGGCTAGTGTTCGCGTTTCTCTCCCTCTCCTTGTTCACAGCACTCGAAACGCCGCGCGCGAAAATGGATCTCGGCCGCATTATGGGTCACCCGATTCTTTTTCCTCCCTTCCAAAGCATCAAAATACGAAGCATGTCCGTAAAATTTATATTATGTTCTATGAGGAATGAACTCTCACTTTCTGAAACAAAACTCAACGAGGAATGACTGATTAAAAAACAACAGTACATTATATAGTTCAGCATTTTACAATTTATTCCGCCTACACAAATAAGATACTCATAATCAAACGATTATTCTCATTCTTGTAAAAAGAGACACGGTATACAAAATCTGAATACTTTTCATCACAACCAAATTCCATTCTTCAGGGCAAGAGACTTCTATATTTTAATTATATTAAAACATTATTTTGTGCATTTTGAGAAACAGTTTTAATCGGAATGGCACGTAGAGATAATACAGTCAAAATTTCCAATCAAAATGCATCGGTGTATGTCTTTATTACACACTTATTTTTCTCTAACACTATCAAAAGCAAGGTATATAGTTTTCTCTGCTTATATGGTTTATCTTCCTTCTCTTGCACTATCATTTTGTGCAAAATATGTAAATGGCGTGTGGGAATTCACGCCAACATCAACAACAACAGTTAGAGCGAAAGCACTGTATTTTCCATGATGCAATGCGTTTGGAACCTTGCAGATTAAGCAAGTTTGCGAAGGAGAGGAATATGAAAACGCAGAGTGTTCTCCACTATCAAAACAGGATATATATAATTGGCCCGTGACTGGAATGGACAGTAAAATTTCAAATTAAAAACAATTGTATTGTCTATCAGCACGAGTAAAATATGAAAACGGAAGCAACGAAACAAATTTGGAATATTAATATGATTAATTCAAAAACCAAAATTAACCTATTGGCTGATACATATTTGTGACTTGTGACTTTGTAAGTTTAATTAAAATAAAATAAATATATCAAACATTTCTCAAAGGGTTTGCAACTTTGCGAAAAATTTAAAAAAAAGTTTTAAATTGTAAACGTTGACATTTTGTGTTTGTTAGGTTTTCAGGAGCACACCTTTTGAAATTATTTTCTTATCCTATAAGTCAACAAAATTTCATGATCGACGTCAAAATTGAGGAAAATTGCAACCTTCAAATGTGGGGAGAATTTGAACCTCAAAGAATTATGATTCCACTTAATTTGGTTTTAAAACTCCTTGAATTTTTTCTGAAACAAATGATTTTTGTGATTTTCCCAAATTTCAAGGTTATTCATAAAAATGTTCCACTTTCACTCAGGAATGAGAGAATTAACCTGTGTGGGTAGTGTACAATTTTGAGAGTAAGAAGGAAGTCTTATAAAATTAGCAAATGTCTCAATTCATGGCCGCAGCCTGAGAGATTTGCACCTTGAGCTCCTTGGCCAGGTGCGAAATGTCGACGACTCCATCCACCATCTCCTGGACAGCGGACACCGACGGGAAGTGGAGGGCTGCTTTCTTGGTCTTGTTGACTGCACTGGCAAGGGCGTCACTAAGGGAGTTGCTGGCCTGCAGCACCTTACCGCGCACAACCGAGCAGCCAACATGGCGGTGCACCGAGTCGCCGATGGACACGAGCTTGTGGGCGCTCAGAACGACAAACTTGCCATGCGCCAGGAAAGCGGCTGGTGGTTGGTTTTGCTCAATGGTGAGCAGGAAGGCGTCTATAGCCACTGTCAGGTTGGTTGCATGGTTTGCAGCCTGCGCAGCGAAGAAGGACAACACCCGCTTGTCACTGTGGTCAAGGTTGGGCACCTCAATTTCATTTTTTGTTGTAACCTGATGGAAAATTCAAAATTTTAGTATTTTTTATTTAAATTTTAAACAAGATTTGAACATATAAACTAAGAATATTGTTTTAATTCGTATGATATATAGCTGTAGAATATTTCTAAAAAGTTTTAAATAATTTTTTTTCTATTTAAAAAAACAAATATATCTGTTTTGCAACTAACCAGAGCCTCGTAGTGCTCCCTCAGGTTTGGTGGCAGGTTGGCCTTGGTCTCCAAATGCTGCCGCGCCAAGCTGGCCTTGGACTCTAGATTGACGTAATCATAATCCTCCAGGCCCTCACCAGCGTCCCTTTTAAAAAGCAGTGGCGCGTTGCCTTGGATGAAGCTGCAGGTTTGTCTGCAGTTGTCTGGCAACTCCTTGGCCACAGCGATCAACTTGTCCAATGCGTCCGGAGCCTCAACTGAAGAATCGTCACGGAAAACGTTGGTCCAGTCCACGATTTCCAGAGCTGCGGTGATTATCGAGTCAGAAGTTTTGAGCTGCCGCAGCAAAGTGTTCATTTTTGGGGCCAACCCTTTGTCTGTAGAATTGATGGCGTTTCCGAGAGCGCCTTCTGCAAATCGGAGCAAATCTTGCAGAGCTGTGCGGACTCGGTGCGCTGCCAGTTTGAGGTCCAGGACTCTCGGCTCCAAGTGATCCAAGCAACGCCAGTTGGGGGCAACAAAGCCCAGAAGTTTTCCAGTGGAGGCCTGCAGCTCTGCCTCCAGCCGGGAGAGGGTCTCGAGGGCTGCGGTCAGTTCAAGGGGAAGGGCGGCGGTGGTGGTGATGTCTTTGGTAACCGTGGGTGGGACATCGTACAATAGCATAGCCGGGTTCATTGAAGAGGGAATTGGTGCTGGGGGCGGAGGGGCGGCGTGTTTGGTTTTGACGGGCGGGGGCGGCACGTCGTACTGGCTTGAGTCGTTGGTGGCTAGAGAGGAAATGGAGCTGGTGGGTGAAACAGCCCTTGGGGGCGGCACGTCGTAAGCCATGCCCTGAGTAGTCTGCACAGGGGCGTGGGGACGAGGAACGTCATAGCTGCTGCAGTCCACAGGGGGCAGCGGAGAAGACGAGGCTGAGGACATTGAGCGAGGCGTGTCATACGACTGCTGAAGGGCGCTCGGACGAGGCACATCATAAGATTCGCCTGAAACCAAATTTAACTGTGGTTTATTTCTAGAGTAAAAGTTTAAAATTGATGTTAATTACAAAATTATTATATTTTTAATGGCATGAAACTCAAGCAGTTTCTTCAACCAAGGATTATAAAATTAATTAAAAAGTAGTTAAATTTTGTATTTAATTAGCAAGTTTTTCTTTGAATAAATTATGAATAGTTTTGATGAAACTTAACTTATATAATGGGAAAAATTTATGGCTTACCACAAGAGGAAATAACAGGCTGAGAGTGATTTCTGCCAGCCAAATGCTGTGTGTGGTGAGGTGGAAGATCGTACAGGTAAATGTCGCCCACCCTTTGCGGAGTCACTACCTAAAAATGAAGACAAAGTGTGGTTTAATTCATCTCAAATACTCAATCTCTTTTGGAAGAATAGAAAAGCAAGCAATGAAAATCACTATAAACAACCAGAAGCAATAAAAAATAAAAATAGAATACTACCAGGTCAAAAAAAAAAAAAAATTTAAAAAAGATAGAATTTATTTCAAGTAATCCAATTTAACAAGAAGTTTTCAAACTTTTAGGACAATTATTATAACTATTATTACTCACAGTAAGATAATATTTTACTATTTTTATAAAACTTCAATCTTAAATTATTAAGTTCTGTATAATTTAGCGATTTCTTTACTTTGCTTACTTTATTAGACTGTACTTGCAAGCTGCGTCTTTTTCCATGCCTCTGGAGAGAGGCAATTTCATCAGCCAGATAAGAAGATTCTTCGAAAAACTCCTCCGGCACTCCAGCAATTAGACGTAAACGGTTTCCAGGACAAATACCCTAAGAAAAACATTATGTGAGAAATTAAATGTGATGTCTAATAACAAGCAATATTGATTCAGACTGGCATGAATGACAATATAATTAATTATTCTTACTTGTCGGCCTCGCAAGGTGCACAACCACCAGCCTTCGATTCCTCCTGTGTTTTGTTCCAATACGGTCAACACATCTCCTCGACGAAACGCCAATTCGTCGGCCGATTCGGCAATATTGTCGTAAAGAGCCCTCGCCATGCACTTCTGCAAAGAGGTCAAAAGCACGTCAAATTATGATAAAAAAAAAATGCAAATGATACCGAGGGCGCGGTTCTCTGTCTCGGTCGATAAGAAATTGCTCTAGATTACAATTACGTTTATTGAAGTCAGCAAAGGTGAAAATATTTTTTTCAAAGGAGCGATAGAAAATTATTCCGATAAATTATGCAATCAATCGCTTGCTGATGCGGTAATCGAGCAAGGACGGATTTCATTTGTGCCCTAAAAATGGCAATTCAATGAAATGAGTCACCCACCTGCATGTTTGGACCGAAATTTTCGGGCAGCTGCGACATCTCGAGTCAAATTTTGGGTCTCTTACAGTTCCAGGATTAATTAGAGCCCGGTTTTGATTCACCAGCGGTTCGGCAGGGCCATAGTTTCTCCAAAATTCAAGCAAATCCGGGACGTCAACGAGAGAGGTGCACTTGCGAGAAAAAACAATCAAGTTGTACATTAAGTGCAGCCAACGTGATACAATTTTACAAAATTATTAATTTTCAGTATTTCAAAGTTTTATGACAACAACTTGAATGTTTGCCGGTTAAATTAAATTATAAACAATTTTTATTTACGTTCAAGCGATTATTTTGGCCATTTTACTGAAATTTTATTTCGATCAATACATTTTGCTGGGTCTATTATTCCTCGTTCGGTTGGCACTTACGCACCGAAGGCCACCATATGATTTTTGGCATGGGGACTTGAGAAAGGGTTAAAAACACACTCTGCCGCGGTCCGCCCAGTCGTACGACAGTCTAAAAATTCACGTCTCGGGATCCAAACATCGCCTTATTCTGCAACCGTTCATAATTTGCACCGCTAAGTTGGCACCCACACTCGCCAAGGCGCACCGAAATTAGTCCATCCGCGAAGTCAGCAGTCGGAGCAACACTCGACGTAGAGAGCCTAGAAAATTGATTGGCCCTTCCACGCTGTCGGAAAAGCACATCAAGTAGGTGAGGATTTTGCAAATTGCGTTATTTATTGCAGTTTTACTTTCAAGTATTCGAATTTCGATCAAACTGTGCCCCAATTAGAGATTTTCTCTCAGGTTTCGGAGACAATAGTTGCAAGAAGTTGGTTTCTGGTCCACCCCAATTTTTCCTCCAACGCACCCCTTTTAAAAAGTTTGATCAATAAAATCATCCCTGTGCTACATTTTTTTAACTTATCAAGATTATTCTAGTTTAATATTAATTGCATACTTAAATTTAATGAGATGTCAAAATTTTATGTGCATTCCTTGAATTTCGTGTTTCTCAACAATACCAATTTTGTCTTACATATATTTTTTTCCATGAAATTTTGGAAATTTTGGTGAGTTTTTTTGTTTAATTTATTTGCCACCAAAAAGTCAATTTGAAGAGGAAAAATCGCAAGGGTTGATTAAGCTCAATTTTTTGCCCGGTTTATTTTTTTGAACGATGACGTAGCCCTTTTTTCCGTGCTCATTTATTCTTGAAGGTCATTTTCGCCAGATTTCAGAAGCCGCGGTGGAGCAAGAGCCATAAATACATAAAGGTCAACGAGCGCGAAGAAAGAACAAGCGGACAGCATGGGTGATAAGCAATTTACGTGAGTAGTTTTATTTATTTGATACTGTATCAGTCTCACTCACCTTTTGTAAAAAATCAATATTGCGAGAGAGGTAATTTTTTTTAGATAGTGCGATGAGGAAATTAGTCCTTTTTGTCCCTTGCGGCTGATAACATTCCATTTACGGCAAAAACCAGACCAGACACCGGAGTGACGTCCGAAACTTAAGTGATAATTTGCGGCTTCCTGGAAATGGATGGGATAGGGGCGCCCATAATCATTAATTAATTCTCTTTGGCAGACCGGCAAAAATTTCAATAAAATGAAATTGTGTTTAATCCTCAAACTTTCTCAGGGCCTTGATAATTTGCATTTTTACTATTTTTAGCAACATTAATTTTACTAATTCATTCTTTTAATAAGCTTCAGACCTAATGAGATGTTGAAAAAAAATTAATTTGGATGGATGCAAATTGAAGTAAAATAATATTTGAAAAATGTAAATTGAAATCAAAAATAAAAACTGAAATTGTCAATTTGCATATTTTTTTAAAATTATTTTTGAATTTATTCATTTTTGCTGTTTATAAAAGTGATTAAAATTTAAAGATAAATACAAATCTTTATTTTTTATTTCCATGTTAAAACCTAATCCATATGGTTTGAAATAAGAATATTAGGAAAAAAATTTTGAATGAAATCATTGCAAGCTCAAAACTTTTTTCTGTGGATTTATTCAATTTAAAAACTATTTTCGGGCTCTGAAGTTGCACATCAAGACTTGTGAATTGTTGTTTACTGCCTGTCACCCGACCGCCCTGTTAGCAAGTGCCATAATTTGCCAGTATTTTTTTATTTAACACTTTGTCTTAATCACTTGGGTCCACCTGAGGAGCCTGTCCGAGAGTCTCATGATCGTCGGCGCAATTTAGCACCCAGAAAATTGTTTTTCGGAACCACTCAAGGCTTCTCATCTTCTTGCCAAGAGAAAATTTTGCCCGCCACGTGCGTCGTGCGTGTGTTTGGTGGTAGACGCGGAATTCGGTTTGTGTCTAGGTGTTGGTCGCCGATTAAACTCTAATTTAAGACGGCAACAAAAGCTGCGCTGACTTTTAGAGCGTGGCCTCTGACGGAGCCTGACGGGTTTTTTCCGCCTGCTCATTGGCAGTTTAAAAAAGTTACCTCAATCCTAAAATTCCAAAAGTTTTATTGTTCTAGAATTTGAACAATAATTTTTAAATAATTATATTCTTAAATTTTAGACAATTTTAATTTAAAATTTTATTAATTTTACAATTTTTATTTACGACTGAATCCAATAGTTAATGATTTATTGAACTCTTTGTTCTCAGTTTGGTGCCGAAAATCATCAACGGAGGCATTGCCGGCATCATTGGCGTGTCTTGCGTGTTCCCCCTGGACTTGGTCAAGACGCGGCTGCAAAACCAACAGATCGGTCCCAATGGAGAGCGCATGTACAATTCCATGTGAGTGGAATCGCCCCTTTTATAACATGCGATGACCGATGAATAATAAATTCGATTGTCTTTAGGTTCGACTGCTTCCGCAAAACAAAGAGCGCAGAGGGATTCTTTGGGATGTACCGCGGCTCGGCAGTCAATATTCTGCTGATCACGCCCGAGAAAGCCATCAAATTGGCTGCCAATGATTTCTTCAGGCACCATCTCTCCACAGGATCAAAGTGGGTTTTTGTTTATCAAAAAATTTAAAATGTTTTGGTATGGTGGGAAAAACAATTTAAAGTTTTAGTTCTCGAAACAAATAAATCAAGGAATGAAAGTTTTTACTTTAATAATTAAAAATTAATCAGTCATAAAATGGAATATTCATTAGCAAGGCTTGCTTTATGTATTTGTTTGAATTCCATAAACCATTTCAATTGATTTTTTATCTTCATTTTTCGTTTCACTGTAAAATGAAGGTAAATAATATTTCATTAAAATAATTATTTGCTTTCGTTTTCAGGCAACTACCACTGGCCCGTGAGATGGCGGCTGGTGGGTTGGCAGGTTTTTGCCAAATTATAATCACAACTCCGATGGAGTTATTAAAAATTCAACTCCAAGATGCTGGTCGAGTTGCTGCACAAGCACGAGCAGGTAGAGTAATTTGTCTTATTCTGTCTATTTTACTCTTTAATTAAATTTTCTGTGCATCAATTTAAAAAATTTTGAAACTATTTAGTAATTTTTTTATTCACAAATTTAACTAACCCTTAGTTTTTGTAATTTCAATTATTAAAAATAAGGGCATTTTAATTACAAAAAGAATATCAGAAAGAAAAAATTAATTTTTGATTTACATTTTTACTGTTTAGCTGGTCAGACTGGTGTCGCCATTCCAAAGGTCTCAGCCACTTCCATCGCCCTGGAATTGATCCGCACGAAAGGCATCACAGGACTGTACAGGGGCACCGCTGCAACCATGTTGCGAGACGTGTCCTTCTCGGTCGTTTACTTCCCTCTCTTTGCCCGTCTGAACGCTCTAGGGCCGAGGAGGAGCGACGGCTCCGGAGAGGCGGTCTTCTGGTGTTCCTTCCTGTCCGGCTGCGTGGCCGGCAGCACGGCCGCCTGCTCGGTCAATCCGTTCGACGTTGTCAAGACGAGACTACAGCTGCTCAAGAAGGCTGAGGGAGAAGCGACGTACAACGGAATCGTTGATGCATTTGGGTAATTTTTATTAAATGTATTAATAATGTACTGGAATTCCCTATAGAGTTAGAATTTTTAAATCAATTTCCAAATTTACAAACTAACCAAAATGAATTGCATTGATATTTTTCTATTTTAATTTAAACTTCACAATATTTAGAAATTTCTTGTGATTACAGAAAAATTTTGAAGAACGAGGGACCGTCTGCATTTTTCAAAGGGGCCGCATGCCGAATGATTGTGATCGCACCCCTGTTCGGAATCGCCCAGACCGTCTACTACCTGGGCGTGGCCGAAAGGTTACTTGGCGTCCACAAAGGGTAAAAACACTGTTCTTCCTCAGTTCCGCTGACGAAAACTGAGCTCGTTGAAATGACAATAATGTTTAGAGTAGCTAACGTTGAGCAATTAGCTAATTTCAATTATCCAGTGTCAATTCAAGCTGCATTATAAACCAAAATTAGCACCAAATTCTTTTCATCTCGGCACTAAAAAATATTAAATTTTTTAGTTAAGTAAGAAAAAATGCAGCTTTGAAGATGATAAAAGAAAATAGGTTGGTTAGAGAATCTCAGTGTATAAAGAGTTTTAGATGTTGATATATAAATCTCGGCAGACTCGCAAGGATTGAGAGAATCAATACTGTCGGGAATTGTTAAGTGTTAATTAATTCAATATACTTCTGCAATTATGTGATATGTAAAGAGCTGAGTCGCTACACTTACAATACCATCCAGTATGGTTCAACAAATAATATTTTGACCGAAGCCCTAGAGGTCCTGTTATTACGGCCAGGTGCTCTTTGTCACTTTTAGTAACATATCGAAGAACTTTTTGACTCGGTTTTGTTGTTTGCCTGAACAAAATTGGAACATTATATATTTCACTTGTTAATCTCTCTATTGTTATTTGAAAATTTTAGGAGGGAAACATTCCTGTGTTGACTCGATTTTGTTGATAAATTAGTAAGTTTTGTCAATAATTGTAAACGTGCCATTCAGCTTACAGAAAGCGCGTGACTTTTTTTAGAAAAACGGGAAATTGTTTGCTTTCCCAGCCACTCTAGTCTTATGTAAAGCTGTAAACATAATGACGATGGATATTACACTCACAAGATTGCATATTTCTAGAGGATTATTTTTGCATTTTTCACCGAGCTTGGAAAAAGGTTAACACTCATTTTAATTTTTTTCGTCTTTACTATGCACAACTGCAATTTGCTTTTAAAACATAAATTTGCTCAGCAGAAAATTAAAGGGTCCCTACTATACCTTCAAAGTTTCAATATGCATATTTTAAATACTATATTTGGGGGAAAAATTCGTTTGGCTAACATTTACCGGGTCTAATGGGAAAGCAAGATTTTTAATAAGAATGGTGAAGATCTGACAGTATTTGAATTATGTAGTTTTAATTTCCTGAAAGTTATTGGACCCTTTAAATTGATAAAATTTGCTTGGCAGCATTCCAAAATATCACACAAGAGCAGAGATAAAAGTATTTAGGCTTCTAACATCCTTACAAAAGATGAAAGCATTTTCAAAGACTGTAGGACGAATTAGAAATTTGAATGATTTTATTTTGATACTGTCCCTAAAAATCATCTCTTCCAACCAAATTGCCCCTCAAACCGAAAAAGACGCCTTGCTTTTTATTTCCAAGTCCTTCCATTTTTTTTAATTATTAAAGTTTGCAGCTAAGTGAATTAGTTGAGCTGCTTATTAAAAAGGTTGACAATAAAAGAATCGAACAATAAAGAGCTGAAAAACAAAACGTGTTGGTGAATTAATTGATTTGTTTTGCTTTATTGTTTCTGAGTGTGTTATTTATCGTAACTTAACACAAGAAGTATAATCATGCAATTAGTGTATTATCAGATGTTAACCCAAAATAATTAGTGCGCAAAATAAAACTGCTGTACCTAAATGTAACATAACCGAAAATATCGTGTTTCATTTTATTCATCATTTGTAATTTGGGCGGGAAATACGCATTATTTACTAAGAGAATGACGCATGATACATTAATAAATATCAACTTTAAATTATATTATTAAATAATACACGTAAATTAAGAATGGACTAAAAAAAAACTGTTTTAAATGATGGATTGTTCTCTAATCAACTTAAGGCACAATTTATATTAAAACAATAATGGATTACGCTCAATCATCATTCAAATGTATATGATCGCAAGCCATCAATTTGATCAATTAAGCGAAATAGAAGAGATTTTTCAGCTTGATTTTGAAATTCATCCGACACTGAACCCATTATATCGCTTATTTCAATAAATTTGAGTTTAGGAGCGTGCACAGGAAGCAGGCAGATGAACTTGAGCAACTCAGAACAAGTGCTGGGCTCGTTTGTTGAGCAACCAAATGTAAACGACTTCAAATGTTGCAAAATGCATCCTGCAACTAGCTGTTCACTTAAACAAGTTAGGTCTGTAGGGGAAATTTTAAAGGAGGAGATGTCTATTGTCTCCAAGTCTGGTGCAGCCAGTACAAGGGCAGACAAATCAGATGGATAATTGACTTCATCGCGTGAGAAAAAACAGATACTGAAGTCTTTCATAAATTTCACATCGTTAGCATCCACTTGAGACTCAACAAAGAAAGTGGTGCTCTCACTGTCCAACAATTCCTCGGAAAGTTGGCATTTACGCAGTCGCGGGCACTTTTTAATGACCTCATAATGGTTCAAAGATCCAAAGGCAAATATATATAAAGTTCATGGAGTTTGTTTCCATAGTGGGTTAGCAAATCAGGAACATCAGAAGCGTCCACTTCAAGCAATGACAAAACTGTAAGATTTGAAAGAACTCCCAACACATGATTTTTCACATCAAAAGGTCCTAGCACAGAAAGTGTTTCCAAACAGGGGGCAAGCACTAAGTCAAATCCACCATAAGTTTCCATGTCTCTTAGGGCGAGCTGTCTTCTGTTGCCTCGGTACGATAGAGAGTTGTGTTGCCCCCAACCTCCTGAGCAGTACTGCAAGCGTGGCAGGTACTGCGTGCATTCTGCTTTGAAGTGATTGACGAATTCCTTCTGCTTGTCAATCACCAACTGCTCAAAAAAAATAATGTTTCATCACATTTAGTAAAAATAATATATGAAAAAAACTTACCCTATTTTTGAAGTTGAATACATCCAAATTGACATCAAGTTTGATCAAGTTTTGAAGAAGGTACAAATTTTGCATTGTTTGAAGGTCGATAAACTGGAAAGTGGTGGACAGGCTCTCAAGATTTGGAAAATGCTGAGCAAGTTGAGTCAAATCATCCGAGTTGGAGACATATTTTTTCAGTAGGATGTGCTTGAGCTCCCGAAACTTCTGTAGGTAGGGCATCACGTTGCTCAAATAAACGGAGTCATTGTGATGACGTGCATCCCGCTCATCCAAGATGCTCTCCAAGTTCGGACACCTGTCGATGAGTATCTGCCACATCCTCTGGTCTTGTTCATGGTCTAACCAGTCATATCCACCAAAGATCCTGAAGTCAAATTCCTTTGAATTGCAATTCAAGAGACGGTTCGCCAATTCAAACATCCATTCGGACATGGCAGGGGTCTGCCTTTCGTAATATTTGGAGCCTTGCTTGGTCGCCATGTGTTTCAAGATTTCCTTTTGCAACAGAGGTGCTGTAATTAAAATACATAAATTTGAAAAATCTTTAAATGAGAACAATGAGAAATAATTAACTCACAAAGGTATTGATATGGCAAAATAGAGGTTTTGGCACACTCGTCGCTATCTGCTACTTTCATTAGGCACAGCTCTTTCAACGGCCAGACATGGTACTTGATCACTTTTGCCCTCTTCTCTCTGGCAATTTTCAAAAGTTTTTCAAGCTCCTCCTGATCTTTATCAACATTGCTGAAATTAATTTATAATAAATTATTGTTCAGTTAATTCTATAAAATTTCAAACACTTAATTATTTTTGTAAGACTTACAAACTAGAATTTTCTAAATAATTACAGTAAAAAAGCATAAAATATACATTTAATATTTTAATATAATATATAAAAATTTGTGCTTTTTGACTCAATTGCAAATATCTATGTATGCCTCAATTTTAATTCTCTCTTTCCTGTATATCACTGCTTATTGAGGTAAACAGGAAAATATGATATTATTTGCATTATTTTCTCCACGATCCTTTCAAATATTATATTTTCTAAATATATACGGCATAAATTGTTGTTGAGAATGAAATATGTATACATACAAAGTTTTTAGGTTATATTATATAATTACCTTTGTGACATTTTCAGGTTCACTTGGGTTTACGCATGTGAGGTTATTCTGACCGCGTGTTCCTCGCCTTCAAGCTGATCAAAAGTTTTTTATAACACCTCTGAAGGCCGGGCGCACTAGAAAAATTATAAACATTTCGTGAAAAAGTCGAAGGCATCTTTATATTTAATATATAAAATTATTCAGACGGAAAAATCCAAGTTTAAATTTGAGTTTACAACAATTAACGAAAATAATTATAAGCTTCGACTGCTTCGAAGTAATTGCAGGAGATAGAAAATTTAAACGTTTGTATTATTGTCTACCTTAATTAACAGCAAACACAATACACGTCGTTAATTACATTACTTCATCAGCTTTCTTATTTTGCGAAAATTCTAGCTGGATTATCTTACATTCTAATGATCGGAAGGGATGAAAATTTGTAGTCCGAGAGGAAACAACCAAAGAAATCTACTCTAGACGAAAACAAAGGCAGAGCAGAAGTTGTGCAGAAGTGACAAGAAGTGACATGTTGTGACCGTGACGTCAGCTCTCTAGTTCTTCCCTCTCGCTGCAGCAGCTGCAAGTCTGCAAAAGCGCGCGTGTGGGCGCGTGTGGGCGCGTGCAGAGCAATTCTCACTACCAATACATAATTACCAATTATGATAATTACAATAATTACAGAAGAGATAATTTCATGACTCATGACACCAGAAAATGCTGCTGCGATTAATTAATAAATAAAAACAAATAATACTGGTGTTTGAGATGATCAATTTAAATATTTATGATAATAAAGTCAGGCAGCATTGACTACAATTCATTAAAAAAAAACTAAAAAAATTATTCCATAATAATTTATTTTTCTAAAAAATATTGCAAAATTTCTTTAGCATACTGGAGGATGTTGGTGTTATTTTATACTTTTGAACACTTTTGAATAATTATTAATTAACTAATTTATTGTAACATTTTATAACATAGGTCAATAAAGTTACCAAATTTATTAAATTATTTATATTGTAAAAATTATGAAAATATAGTAAAGAGTTCCTTATTAAAGGAAATAACTTAAAAAAAAGAGAAGGCTAAAAAATAAGCGTTTTTCGTTGATATAATTCTCTTTATTATTACTGAATCAGCGTTCTTTATTTATTATAACTAACAATAAGCAAAATTAATCAGATTGTGTCCCCCAAATAATTACAATAATTACCCCTGCTGCGCCAAAATTGACTTTTATCCTCTCTGGAGAGGAAAATATCCTGATAAATGTCAATTTCGGCAACTGGGGTAGTGCGCAAAAAAACTTTACCTACTTTTATCATTATCATATCTACCAAATCCTATTTTTCATTTTTATGAGTGCAATTTTTCAAACAAACCCCGCAATGGAACGTTTGCAGTGTAACAATTTGGAATGAGATTTTAGTCGAAGAACTTGCGACTGGGGTTTCTGCCGAAGAGGGAATTTCGCATTTCTGGAATGGCCTGGCGCGAAATCAGTTCGAGTCGAGCCTCAAGGGTGTTGACGATTTTCAAACGGTTGCCGTGAGATTTCAAAATGACTCCTCCACAACTAGGAAAATTAAATGAAAATTAGGATAATTATTTAAAATAAATTAAACCAAAAAATAATTTAGCAGTTTGAAAAAATATTAAAAAAAAAATGACTAAAACCTAAATATAGTAAATATTATTTTAATAAAACTTTGAAATTCTTACTTAGTCTCAAATTTATGAAAAAAAGATACCTTTTGGCGGATAAGAAATTGGATGTGTCGATGTCGATGGTGCAATTCTTGCCGGTGATATCGGAATATTCGTCAATCACACTCGGAATGACCGATTCCGCAACGTCCAGGTCGGCCTCTCGAACTTGAATCGTCACAGCCGTCTCCAAAAACTGTTAAATTGTCCTAAATTTCTATTCCCTTGCCATATTGAAGGTTTTGCTTACCTGGAGCATTCCTTGCAAAACCAACAATCGCAGAACTTTGGAGTACTTTTCCCGGTCCTTGGTAACGCTGTCCAGGACCTCGCGGGTCTCCCCCAACACCCTCATAATGTGGTCCTCGCGAACCTTCAAAGCTTTCAAACGCACCTGATTGTTGAAGTTGGAGCCTTGGCTGGAATAATTTTTTATTTTTTTAATTAAAATAATTGTAAGTTTGGAAGTTCAAGTATTCAATTTAATTTTTTGCTGTAAATAAAATTTATTCGAATTACAATAATTTAAAAAAAAAGCAAAATTTCAAAGAAGAAAGTAACTTATTTTTATCATTCAGCACGTTTAATGTAAATTATTTTATTTACCCTAAACATTTTAAAAATAATAAAAAAAGTAAAAAAGAAACACTCCTATTCCCAATTAAATTTCTTTCGGTGGTTATTAAGAAAAAGATATAATAGTAATTATTATATATAATTTATAATTTTTAATATCTTAAATAAATTTTTTATATTTTTTAATATTTGAAGGCTAAAATTATTACCAGATTATTTACAAAATACGTACATTTTTCTAGCCAACTCGCAAGTTTTTTCCTTTTTCTCGTAAAACTCCTGAATTTTCAGCCGACTCTGCTGTACCAGTTTTCCCTTTTCCAGATTGAATTCCTCCTCGGCCTTGGCGTCAATTTCCGTCGCCTTTTCCACCGCCTCTTGCTCGATGAATTTGGTCATATGGTCCAACTGGACACAAATTTTGTATTTTTAGAAATTAAATTTTTTTATTTGTATCAAATTTTATTCTCTCACCTGTTTTTTCACATCTTCGTCGGAGAGAACCATCTTGCTCTCGCCTCTGACCATTTCCGGATGAAAAAAAAGAAATCCTTTGGGGACAGCTGTTTCAGGTTCAGAGAGTTAAAAGACTGTTTGCGTTATCAGCGGTCACGCGGAATCACGAGGTGTTTGTTAGTCCCTCTCGCGGCAAGGTGTTTGTCATTCATTTTCACTCGCGACGCACGATTTCCCCACCCGCATATACTCTGCTTTAATTATATTTTAACTGCTTTAAAATTTTCCTACTGGTCGCGGAATGCAGTGTGCTTTAAATATTTTCGTCCTTGCCAAGCAAAATACGTATTGCTCTCTCGGAGAGAGAAATATTTATTTTAATGACGCGTGTTTTCTGGCTCTGGTTGATTTTATTGGCGCTTAAAAATAGACCTCCACTTAAAACGAGGGCGTCTCTTTATATTGAAAAGAACATTGTTTCAAAAGTGCGCGGCGTCAAAGAAATACTGTGATATGCCTTGGGGAAAACCCTTTGTGCATGAGACCATAAAAATGTACATAATTATATTTTATTATAAAATAAATCATGAAAAAATGTAATTATTAAAATAGAAAATGTATGAAAAATCTATATTTGCAGCAATTAAATGAAGTAGGATTTCACTGAAAATTAAATTTTTAAACATAATTAAGTTTTTAAATAGTTGCATTTTTTTAATATAAAATAATTGAAATTGCATCAAACAAAAACAAAAAGGGGATATTAACGCATGCTAAGTTAGTTTATTTTAATTGATTTTAATTAACACAAAAATTCATCATGATTGAGGATATTTTTGTGAATTTTGAGGTTCTGATTGAATATTTTAAATCAGTTAAATTACACGTAATTTTTTTACAACAATATAAATAATTAAGGTGATAAAAAATTTTTACTATTATATTATCTAAGAAATCCAATCAATATAGAAAAAAATGAATATTGTGTTAGAGAAAAACTGTACATATTAATTTTTAATATAAAAATTCCTTCCATGAAGTGAAAAGTGAAAACAATAAAAGTATATTAAAAATACCATTTCTATTAAAATTTTCAACACGTTCGTTTCAAAATGTCCTAAATTAAAATAGAGACAATGAATTTATGCCCTCGATTACCGCACCTGACGCGCACAATCGCGCCCATCAAATTAGCCCGAGTTAATTAATCTCTCAATCGGAGAGTAACGCGGGCGGGCGGGTGGCTCAGCCGTTTCTCGAGGTGCCAAAGCGAGATTCGAGATTGAAATAAAGAGGGTTCGGAGGGTGTGCACAGGGCGGCGCGTGCACAGATGAAGCAGCGGCGGCGATTGCATAAAGGGGCTATTTCGAGCGCCGGCGGTCGCATCTCAAGAAGAGAGCAGTGCCGATCCGGACGCCGAAAAACAGTGTGTGGGTGGACGGGACGACGATGGCGTCGAACAACGCCACATTCCACCTCTTCGACGCCTTCTACCACTGGCTGGGACAAGTGTTGGCCGCCGAAAAACACTTCCTCGACCACTTCGCCGGCTGCCACACTGACGAGCAACGCGTCGCCAGTGTCCACGCCGTGCTCGACGCTGACCAAATCCAACTCGAGCCCCGCAAGGGAGGACATAAGGATGAGAAAGTGGCTGAAAAGTACCTGGATGGCGCCGTCACCGTCCAGCACACTCTGCTCGGACCAGACTTTGAGTGAGTTCAAAACATTTAGTAAAAAAGTTGTGATTATTTTTAATTATTTTAGAAGATAGAAATTAAAAACATTCGTATCCTTAAATGGAATAATTAAATTAGCTGACTATAAAATGTTCACAATTCAATTTTATTAAATCTGCACAGTTCAATTGTGATTTTTTTTTTCAATCAAAAGAGGCTAAGATTTATTTCAATTTTAACATTAACCACCTTTTTAACGAATTGGTAAAAAAAAATTGTTATTTAAATATTTTATTACAAACTGCAGCTATCCTAATAAAAAAACCCTGAACCATCTTTTCTATTATTTGCAAAATAAAATTTGAGCTTCATGGAAATTTCCAGATATAATTTTGTATTAAATCAACCAGGAAATAGAGATCACTGGAATGGTGAAAAATGTCTCTTTGCAAAGAGACATTGATTTTTATTAATTTTACTCTGAAGTATATTCTGAAAAAGAATCTTTGCAAAGTGAGTCATATATTGTGATTCTATAAGATTTAAACAACTTTTTTTTATCTTTTCACAAGAAATAAGAATTTGTAAATAGATTTTTGGAAAATTAGAGATATTGGAGCTTGTAAAGCAAAAAATTGGACCTTAAAATTCGCCTATAGATCTTTTTCACCAGTCTTACAGTCCAAAAACCACCGTTTCAGCTTCCATTTTTAATATCAGCAAAATATTAAATTTCTTTCAAGCCCTGAAACTGAAAATGAAGGGACTTTGGAAAACGTGTGCAAAGCTCTCCGATTGTACGGCGAGGCGATTAGCTACGGACCTGTCGGCAGTTCGGTTGTCCAGCGGGCTCACTTAGGTCGAGCAGGTTTGCTGTCCAAACTGGGACAGTACGCGGACGCGCTGATAGACTGTTCCAGGGTGAAGGTTTCACCGTCAGATGTAAATCTCAGATGTGAGGTAAACAAATAATTAAGTTAAGTTCAATTAATGAAAGCTTCATTTCAGTCTCATTGCAATAATTGCCCAAATTTTCTAAAATTGTGTGAAGAATATTTGGAATAATTAACTTTTTTAATTCGAGTAGTAATTTGAACCATTGCAATTTGCAATCATGATGAAATTGAATAAAAAATTAAAATAAATATAGACAATCCTTAAAAGCATTGATGCCCTGCTGACTAATGCTAACTCTTCAAGGGGCTTAATTTTATAAATGAATGCATGATTTTTTTTCCAATTTTTTAAAGTTAAATTATTTTAATTTGTTTAATTGGGCTGAATTTTCTTTGAAATCAATTAAAAAAATGTTTAGCTTGCTGTAGTACAATCTGCATGTCTGGCCAAAGAGGACCGAAAGGAGGCGGAAGCGTTAATCAAATCGGCGCTCGGTGCGCTCAGCAAGTCGGATTTGGAGAAGGAAGAAAAGGCGCGTCTGACGGTGCGCCTCGTTTCTCAAATGAAAGAACTGACCAAGTGCGAAAACAGACAGCCGAGGTGTAGATCCATCACGGCAGAAGAATGTCCGGCACTCTTTCAAGGGCCCCACCCGAGCATTCCAAACGCCTCGGCTGCCATTGATCTGCAGTTCACAGAAGAAAAGGGCAGATACTTTGTAGCCAACACAACCATTGACGCCGGTAAGGCATTTTTTACTTTGAACTTTGGAGTGAATTTCTCGACGTTATGCTTGCTATTCTAATTAATTTAATTGAAAAACAGTATTTTATGAGATTCAATTAACAAATGTTCCTGGTAAATAAAAATAAACTAGTGCATAAAAAAAAATTTAAATATTTTAAAAATTAATTTAAATTAGTTGAAAGTAAAAAATGAAAAGAAATGAAAAATTATTTAAATAAATGCAAAAGTTTATTAAAATACTATTTTAAAATTATTTAAAAATTAAAATTTAATAGTTATTAATTAATAAAAAGCTTATATAATTATTTTTAATTTCGCGCCTAATTTATAATTTAAGACTGCTTATGTGGTCTTTAAATTTATTTTCTTTCCTTTAAATTTAAAAAGGTAGAGATTGTATCAATGTCGGTCTAGTTCAAAGAAATTTTTTGCAGGTAGTGTTGTGATAGTCGACGAGCCGTACGCGTGGATGTTATCGCCGATGGCTTGGCACGACCACTGCACCCACTGCTGCAAACCAGTGATGGCCCCCATTCCCTGTCCGACTTGTACGCAGGTATGCTTGTAAATCACAGCGTGCTGCCAAAAGTATATGCGAGATAAAAAAGAAAAAAAACATGAAGGGAGAGAGAAACAAACTAAAAATAATCGTAATGGAACAGCGTCTATGGGGCAAAAAGCGGAGAGCTTGAAATAAGTGAATACAAAAAATTTAAATGTTCGAAACACACAAGTTCTTTGCATTCCAGCGATTGTACTCTTTTTACTTATTTGACTAATTACGAAGTTTTGAAGATTTGCTTTTCATGAAAAGACTTCATTCTTAATTCACTGCAAAATTTATTGAAAAAGATCTTAAGAAGTTACAGTGTTAATGTTAATACTTGGATTTTTCTGTACAAAATTGTTCTTTAATTTCCTTTCTTCAGTAGAATAATGATAAAAAAAATATTACTCAATGAAAATACTTTTTTATTAAAATTTTAAACTAAAATACAGTTAAACAAATTTTACTTGAAGCTACAATAAATAAATTAATTAAATATCTAAACGAAGAAACGAATTTACCAAAAAGGTCTCAAGTATTCAATAAATTCAATTATAAAATGTAAGCAATGCAACATGTATGTAATGTTGTTGTAAAAATTGGACAAATAAACAAAATCAACAATAATAATAAAGTACAGAGCTAAAATTTTGACAGAAAGATCAAGTTTTAAATTGTGAATGATAATTAAAATTTCTTTTCCTGGGAGACGGGTTACAATTTAAAAATTAAATTCATAAACCACTTTGTAAGTGATTTTAAAATTGAGAATTTTCAAGATTTCCGTCAAAAATCATTTTTAAATTGTGAACTGTTTTTTTTTTTAATGATGGAAATAGATAATTGTAAGATACTGCAATTTTTTTTTTTTTAATTATTCTTTTATGATCTTCAGGTGGTGTTTTGCAGCACAGACTGCATGGCCGAGGCGTTAAGTTCGTACCACGGGTACGAGTGCTGTTTTCTGCACCACTTTGCCACCTCGCACGAGCTGAGCTCAATGGCCCTGCTGGTGATGCGAGTAGTGGTGCGGGCGCGCGATCACCTGCTAGACCCTCTCGCCGACCCCTGTTTTGCGCCGGTGCACCAACAGGTGAGCAACAGCGGTGCAAGACCTGTCGGCGACCTGGTCAAGCGCACGGCGACGGCTCTCTTTCTGGCCCAGGGTCTCAGGGACGGCGGCCTCGTGGCCGACAACCGACTCGTCGAGGCGGCCCTCCTCAGGCATCTGCAGAGCTGCTCATGCAACGCCTACGAAATTTCTGAATACGTCGACTCTGCAGTAAAGGTTAGAAAATTCATTTCATATTTTATTGAATATTTAATTAGTCATATACTAGATTCAATTATGATAAAAGTAAAATATTAAAGACATAGGTAAAATTCTGCATTATTATAAAGAAATAATGCTTTTCAATTTTCAATTGTTTGGTCTCATAATGAAAAGAAAATTTCATTTTTGTATTTAGATAAATTAATTTTAACCGCCAGTTTCATAAAGGAGATGACAATTTTAATTACTTACAAATCGAAATATACCAATACAATAATATTGAGCCAAAATTAATTATCAAATATGAATGAAGTCCAAAACTAAAAAATTAAAAATTGGATTTATTAGTATGTCAAATGCGAACAGATATGTAATAAAACAATTAGTTGAAAACAAGTTAAATTATACAAAAGGTAAAAGATCTTACTTTCACTGAAATTTGTGTGAAAGAGGTTTTATTATTTATTTTTACAATATGTGAAATATTAAAATATTCCTAAATCAATAAATGAAGAATAAGTTCAGAAAAAATTGTATTTTTTAAGACTTTCTAGAAAACAACGTAAAAGAAAATAACATTCAATCCCAATTGGCACTTTTTAGGGTTGAGCGCTACGTGCATGTCTAATTATTTACATGTTCCACTAACGCCTGCAGAGTTTGAAAGTAGGCAACCTGTAACACTCGCTAACGTAATTAAATCCTTTCGAGTTTTAAATGAATACCACTTTTATGCCTCACCCTTAACAAATTCATTATCAGAATGCTCGAAACAAGGCGAATGTTTTAAATTATTCAAGCACAGGAAAACAATTTGGACAATAAGCAACAATAATAATTTTTAAAGATATTATATTTATGAAATATTTTTGCAAAAAGTTGGTTAATTTTTTCACATTAAAACCAACGTATGTTTTTTAATAACAAATATTTGATTGTCTTTATATTAATTTTTTTTAAATTATTCCAAAAGCAAATAAAAATAGGAATTTTTTGCAATTTCTACATATTCAGTTAGTTTTCTTCAAATTAATAATTTATTTTAAAATAATTTCAGACGTCCGCAAGTCAGGTGGTGGCGATCGGAGGTGCCGTGTACCCAACCATCAGCCTGGCAAATCACGGATGCTGGGCGAATGTGTGTCGCTCGTCGCACGGCCGGCGGTGCGTGGTGCGTGCGACGAGGCGCATCGAGGCCGGTGAGGAGTTGCTCGACAACTACGGCTACTCGTTCCTCGGCGTGTCCAGAGGCGAACGGCGGCACGCCCTGAAAAAGCAGTACTTCTTTGAGTGCGGCTGTCTGCCGTGCTCCGAGGACTGGCCGCTCTTCCCTGAACTCAAGCCTGAGAGCAAGTTTCGGTGCCGCAAGTGCGGAAAACTGGGGCTGAAGTCGGCGTGTAAAGTTTGCGAATCCAAGGGTGCGGCCAAGGCGGCCGAGAGGAAAATGCGACTGATCAACGACAGGTTAGAATTTTTTATTTAATTTTGCAAACAAAAGAAATTTTTAAACTTGGAATAATTTTGATGCAACAATCTCTTTTTTTTTTGAAAAAAATTGTTTTTCAAAAATTGAATGTAAACAATGTATTTGTAACAATGTGGACAAATAAACAACAATAACATGGGGCACCAAAATTTAGTTGAGATATGATCAATTTTAAAAGAGTATTTTTTTCTATTTTTGTTCATCATAATTAGACGTTTTAATATTGAAAAATTTCATGTTGCTTTTGGAAAAAGCTTCAATATAATTATTTGTTTTAAATTTATGCTAAAATTATGGTTGAATAATATTTTATTTAAAAAATGTGACACATCCATTGGCCTCAATGTAACTGTTGAACTTAAATTGTATTTTTGGAATGATTTTCTTTTCATTTAATTTTTACTTGAAAAAATCTAAAATTAATTTTTAATAACTTAAAATAAAACTTCCAATTTATAAAATTATATAAAAAAGGTTGAACTACTTTATAACAAAGCTCTCCAATCTACATATTTAAAGAAAAATAAAACAGTTTTTGAAAGATCAAAATTTTTTGAACTCATTTTTCCTCTGTATTAAATTTATTTTAGGTGTCAAATGGCCCTGGCAAGAGTCGACTCGGCCAGTTTTGATGACAACGTGGAGTCATGGCTGATCGACTTCATCCACGAAATGCAGACTAAAGTGATCCACCCGAACAAAGAACTGATACTGGCTCAGCAAGCGTTGGTCAAAATCTGGGGTTGGAAAGCCAACCGTAATCGGCTGCTGCTTCTGAACGACTAATCCTGAATTGTGCATTTTTAAAATAAAAGAAGTTTATGTCTCAATTCTTTTACAATGGCAAGTTTTATTATTAATTTATGCCCGACGTTTTTGCCGGGTGTCAATTTGATGCGCTATGAATCTCAAATGAAAAATATATGAGAGGAAAATAGTTATACACATACAAGTACTTGCGCAGACACGATGACAGCACAACTTAAAATTAGAGACTAAAAAAGTCTAAAAGATCAAAATGCAAAAAATGTGACTAAATTGTACATAACTTCGGCGCAAGTCACAGAGAGGAGAGAGTCAAAATATTTACTACACAAATTATACAACCACATCTTGTCACATTAAAATAGACAAATTTTTTTTATCACCACATCATTTTGTTCAGAAAATTTGCGTGGACACGATTTACTGATTAATTTTGCCAAGTCCAATTTGATAATCACAACATCAAGCGATTTTGCGCCGTACAAAATTTGTGTCGCTTAAGTAACCGAAGCCGAAAAACATCCAATGTGGACATCTACCAAGAGTTGATCAGTGAGTGGATCAGAGTCTTGAAGGAAAGACTTGATACGAATGCATTGTTCCTCATCAGATGCGGGACAACTGTTGCCAAAAACTGGACTTGACGATCGCTTCCAGCTTGTCCATAAAATATTGAAATGGCATCGAGATGCAGCTGAGCAACTGCAATTTCAATCAAATAATATTTTTGAAATATTTCTTGGTTTATTCTGGTTTGTTTATTTTAAATTTATAAAATTTAAAAAGAATCTGCAAGACTTATAAAAATCAGTAATTTATTAAGAAAGTAATAATTTCCTGCTGGCAATTTTCATATAAATATGCTGATTTTTTTTATTCAAAAACATTAAGAATAGAATCTTTTTTTGTACTCACCGTCTTTGCGATGACCCCCATGGGTTCTGGATATTGATGAGTTAGCAAAGCCAGCAAAGCAGTGAAAGAACACAGCCCAGCAGTGAATAGGATAAAGAATGGCAATTCCTTCTTCGGATAAACACTAACGTCATGGAACACTGATAAGAAAAGACGATATTAACTTTAAAAAGAATTAATTTTAAAATGATTATCCTGTACCTGGAAGGAGTTCTCGATCTGCACACTCGGTGCAGGTCGGATAGGGGTAGAAGAGGTGGCCCCGCTCCAGAGGGTACGGAAGCATCCTGAAAGTGCCCTCCCAGGTGCAGTGCAGCAGGTTCAGGGCTCCCTCCACCTGTTTCCAATGCGACAAATGGAAGAATGCATAAGCGATGGCCTCCGAGTCTCCCCGCTTCAAAACGTGTTCTGGCGGCAAGATGAGTGGCTTCATTTCCAGCAAGTACTGAAATATTCAATTTTGTAATAGATTTTATTCAATATATAACTAATTTTTATTTCCACAAGCAAGTTAAAACAATATATCATTTGTAAAGAAAATATATTCCCCATTTTTTATTTTTGCCATTTTATTAAAATTCAATTGAAATTATTTCATTTTACTGTTAATTATCAACCAAATTTGTTTTTGTTTGTATGATAAATTGAATAAATAAAATGTGTAGAAAGAAATAAAACAAATAAATGAAAGGAAATTAAAAATAAGAAGAAAACATTGTAATTATAACAATAATCTCTTTCCCAAATGATAAATGCCCACATTATGGAAATTTTAAATAAATTAATGTTCAGAAATTTAGTTCAATCTGATTATTAAATTAGAGTATAAATGCAAGACGAAAACTGAACACTACCTTTGGAACATGAGGGTTGAACTCAACAGCCCGGTGAATGGCATCGACGGCTGTAGTCTCGGCGCTCGTCAAGCCCCTCTTGCTGGCTATGTCCGGCGAGAATTTGTCAGCAACGGCCCGAGCTTTCAGCAGGGCGGCCGTGTAGCAAATTGTGGCTGACTTTGGCAGACTGATGTCGTCGTACTTGGCCAACACTGCCTGCACATCTGCGTAAGCTTGCATTTCAAGAAGCGCCTCGATCAGGTTTTCGTGGACGTTCAGAATGTTCATGATCGGAGGAACTTCCTTCGTCAACTAAAATCAATAAAAATCATGAATAGAACAAGTAAATTACCTATTTCTACTAAGAGCAAATAATTTCAATAATAAAAACTTTTAATTCAAATTTAAAATTAAATATTGCCTACATTTTCTAGATATTGGAAGATCAATTTTTTAAGATTAAAGATTTAAATGATTCATCTCTTTAGAAATGAATGACAGGCTTTGTTTTACTTACATAAAAACACTTTAAATTATTTGCATGAATTAAGACTTAAAATATTAAATTGAAATAAATTAAAGGATCTGAAAAAATCCTTTAATTGAGATCCAGTCGATCCAGATAGCTGGATGAGTAAATTTACCACTTTTCAATCTTTATTTAAATATTTTGATATTAAATTGATTTATAAGTTTCCTAATTCCACAGAGCATTTTTGAAATTTTGTATTTTTATTTCCATGCAAAAATTTTAGAATCTAAAACGTATAATATTTTTCCCACCAGTTTTATCTTAAATCGTAAAACTTACGTCTCGGAACATTTTGACCGCCTCCTTGAGTTTCCCCAGCTTTCGGGCGCACATGGCCAGCCTTCTCTTAATGTAAATCAGAACATTTGTGTCCCTTCCTGCAAAACACCCATTAAACTCCGAAAACTTGGATAAGAAAAAAAACAATTACTATGCGAAGCCTCCATGAGTGCACTTTGGTGCTGGAGCTGCTGCGTCTTTCGGTAATTCTTCTCAGCCACCTGGAGAGCTTGCTTGAGGATTTTCTCACACTCGACAATGGTGGTCGCCTCCTCTTCTGCCAGCAGAATGTAAGCAGGGGCGCACTCGGGATTTTTTTCCAGCGCCTCGTGGGCAGCTTTTATTCTGGCCACAGGGTTGCGCTCCCTCCAAGCTGTTTGCATTACTGAAATTGAACAAAAAACATTAAATATAAATTCAAAAGCTTGAAACATTAAAAGTTTTCTTAATATTTTAAAATAGAGAAAAATTTGGCAATCAAGAACTTCAAAACAATTCAAACAGATTGAAAATTCTTAAGACTACAAAAAATTAAATTGAAGGGATAATTTCAAAAAGATTTTCAAATATAAACGAATTTTGAATTTATGCTTTTTGGGAAATTATCGTCAAATTTTGTTCGAAAGAATTTCATAAAATCTTTGAAATTGTCAAGTCCGAAGATTGATCAGGATCTCAACTATGGAATTTTAATTATTCTAAAGTTGAAAAGTCTAGAGTGAAGAAAATATTCAAATTTTCTTGAGACTATTTTAGATTTTTGTTTTTATATCAACTGAATTTTATCCTTACAGTTCATCGAAATTTTCTTACTCTCATATTCATTTTTCCCAACGTCAGCTTCACAAGTGAAAAACGTCTGGTGGTCTTGGGCGGACAAGTTCATGTCGTAGTAGGTGAGGGGCTCCTTGTTGGTGGACCAGTAAAACCGCTGATACTCGGCCCCGCGAAACAAATTCAGCGGATTCCGCCAAACTTTGCATTCTGCAAAATTTTTAAGAATAAAAACATTGAAGAAAAACCTAAATTCGAAAATGGTGAACCTGGAACTGCTTGTTGGTTGATATTGCCGTTGCTGGCGGTTCCGTTGCTACCATTGTTACTCTCGCTACTGTTGTCACCACCTCCTATCCAGGGGCTGATGTGGTTCAAAGAGACCTGCTCGATGAATGAAGTTCCGTACTTGCGAAAATACCACCACTCGAAAATCTGTTAAAAATTTAAATGAAAAATGGAATACCAGAAAAAAAAATATTGGTTAAAAATTATTCTATCCTCTATAATTTATATTTTCATAAATTTTATCAATTTAATTATGCATAATTTAGAATGTTTCATCAGAAATTTCTTTACCAAAATCAGTCCCGAAATAAGCGACGAGGTGCCGGTGAGGGCGACGTAGAACTTCGGGGTCAAAGTTGTGAGAAACATATTCGCTGAAACCAAAAGAACCATCAAATTTTCAAAAGTAATATGTTTTCCTGCCAAACTTACAGTCCCACATGGTTTCGCTTCACTCGGATCGCATCAGGCTTTGAACGGCAGACCAAAAGAATCCTGCAAAAAAATTTCGAAATGAAAATTGTGATTCAAATATGGTACGGAAGAGAGACACAAACATTCCTCCCTCTCTCCCTTCATCCCCCTTTCATCTCTCTCAACCCCCGTGACGTAATCGCTATTGATTTCTTTGCCTCCCTCGCACCAACTTGTGCCAGCACGGATAATTTCGCCCGCTCTCGTTTTAAACTCAAAATTTTCAGCGAAATAAATTCATCTTCAGGAAAGAAAGGTAGTTAATTTTACCTGAATTGTGCATGGAAGATTTCAAGTTTGGAAATTAACCCGATCATTGTTCGACAGTTATTTATTTTCAAGTTTAATACAAAAATATCAACAGGGCAATTTATCAGCCTCAAAAATGCAACAGCTTTTCTTAACTTCCGGCTTTTTTCATATCTATGGGAACGTTTCGGAAAGGAAGTAAAAGAACAAAACGACAAAATTAAAGATAATTGTTAAATACGGTAAACTTTTGTTTCTGTCAAAAACGAAAATTAATTAATTTGTTTACTTTCTCTAATTTGCGGAAGAGAATTTTTGTACAGGTTTATTTAGAATTAATTTAAATAAATATAATATTAATTTAATTGAAAATGGTATGTTTTTAAAATATTTAAGTAATTTTATCCCTACTTGTTTTCATTTCTAGTACTAGTTATGTCAGAGATGATTTGATTTGAATTAAATTTATTCCTCTACTTATTATTCCAATTTAAATAAAAAAATTGTAAAAAAATATAATGGAAAGATGACGATGCTGATGCAAAAGTTGGGCTAGCAAAATACTAAAAATTGGACGTGCCGCTACCGATCGAATTCGAACCCTTATCCGCCAAAAATATAGAAATTTTCAAAGGAAATCGCATGACCTATTTAAAAGTCTCACCGATTTGGATTTCTGCTGGAAACTGTCCGGTGTGTTTGTGTCCGAAAACTGCGTTGGCTTTTTGCCCTTCGGTGTTTCTATCTCACATCTGTGATCTCTGCGGGTTTGCTTGCGTTCGGGGGGTTTTTTATTTTGCTGAGGTCGGCGCCACCTGTGGATCGATTTGCGAACCACTTAGACGGCGAGGATGCCGAGGATGAAATGAAACCGCGCGAATCGGACCACGTGCCCATTTGAGTTCATTGGGTTCGAGTGAGGTAATTTCCGGTAATCTCAGATCAATTGTTGTCCCGCGGAAAATTCTACGATTTTTTATTGTCACACTGAAATCGAGACCATAAAAGAGGGGATTAAAGTTATCAGCCCTTGAGCCCCTTGAGATTTAGCAGGCCTGACTTCTATTGCTCGTGCCAATCCCAAGAAGGACAAATAATCCAAATAATTATAAAATTTTATATCAATGGAATTAATTAATTACAATTTCAAAATTGGGGGTTATGAGCAACATTCTGATTAAAAAATTAAACAGACTTTTGATTATTTTCGCTCGAAAATTTGTCCTTCTGAATAATATAATGGATATTAAAAATATATATATTTTTATTATTTTACTTTATCCATGAAAAAAAAACTGATTGAGATATTTTGAATAATTAGGACCTCTTTAAAATTTCTAAACAATGTTGAGAATTTTCATGGACTCTTTCTTGTAGTATTTTTAACTTACTATGTCGTTATTATAAAATAAATCAATAAGCTATAAATACATGCAAAAAATATAATTATGAATGTAATTATTTATTTATTTATTCTTCATTCAATATACAGTCATGAATACACAGCAAAAAAATATATATTATTGAAAAGTACATGAAAAGCTGAAAATACGATTGAAAAGAGACACATACAGTAAATAGGGGGTGAATGGAGAGTTGTCGGGAACAAAAATCATGAGTAATTATAATTATCACCTCCGAGGCGAGGTGCAAAGCCAGACAGGGCTCGGGTGACATTCAGAGCAAAATGTAATAAAAGTCTGTGTGTTGACACTTTAGAAACGTGTATGCTTATTTCGTAGTTTGAATAATAACCGATAATAACCACAATAATTTGGTAAAAAGTGAGTAAATTGTTTGTTACTCATAAAATCTCCAGCAATCCCCAGCACATTAGTGTTTATTAATCATTAGAATGTCCATACAAGTTAATTATAAGCATCCCAGTGTGCCGCAGCTTTTCCAAGCAATGGGAAATACTCCGTTTTTTACATTTTAATATTAAACTAAAATTTGAGCCTAGAACGCACCTCTTTTTGGAAAATAGTATTTTCCAACTGTCTAAGCTATAGATTTCTTAATATCATTATTAAGGTGCAATGCAAGAAAATTTACCACGGAAAATTTAAGATTCAACTTATCAATCAAAATTGCCAAAATTATTATTTTCTTTTTAATTTTAAGAGAAGATTTTCAAAGTTTTTGGTTCTTGTATCCCACAGAAATTTGCTAAGGAAAAAGACAATTAAAAATAGCTGATGATCACGTAATTCTATTGCCCTTTTACTGTGGCCAAATCAAATCTTTTGCTTCTTTACTAATCCAGTTTGAAAATTCAACAGTGAAATTCGAAAAAACAAAAATAATAGGGATGACTTTTCCAAAAGGTTAAATGAAGATTTCGCAAAACAGTTTTGTTAATTTTGCCGTTTGCGTTATTCTAGTTTTTTGAATTTTTTTACCATGAGATTTTTTACATTTTCAGATGGCTATGTTTTTACCAGCACGTTCACAGATAGGCGAGGAGATAATATAAAGTCTCACCCTTGAACTTTGTGGAGGCAGTTAAATTTTTTTATTAATAAATGCGTAAGCAGCTCATCTGCTCTGCGATCGTTTTAATGAATTTCATCACCACAAAACGAAACGACAAACACAGTCATCTCTCTTTCTTTACACAAACGCAGATGCCGAGCGCGTGTTGGAAATTTTTTCTAGTCACCCTACTCGCAGCCAACTGCATTATTCGCATTAATTAAACAGTGGTCACAACGCTCGGCTTGTTGTGCGAAAAGAATTTGGTCAAATATTTGCCTCCGAGAGCAGAGTATCGGGACGCATCCAATAAATTATTTCTCATATCTGTAGTGCGTGTGTCACGGTCTGGCGCTCGGAACCGAAAGGAAGCAGAGAGCATTTTTGCGAGTGTCTTCAGGGAACGCCAGCATGACCAGGAGCGACGTCGAGAGGGCCCTGAAGACGCCGGCGGCCGGATCCAAGACATGGCAAGTGCTGGCAACCATCATAGGTCAGTTACTAAAACATTTATACAAATTAATTTGTTTATAATAATTATATATAAATAAAAATTATTGAATTCAAGAGTAAAAGTGAGAAAAAGTTTAATTTTTATCCGTCTCTAGTGTGATTAAGAAAAATATATTCATTAAAAATTGTAAATAACTTTGTCTACTTATTATTGATTTTTACTAATAGAGACCAAAAATATTTAAACTCAATTTCAACATTGATTGCAATGTTGTGCAATAAAAAACTACAAAAAGGAATTTAGTTTATTTAGATCTGTTAAATTATTTTCTGCAGGATTTATTTCAAAAATTATTATCTAAAATTTAAAAAATATTATTTTATTAGATTTTTTAATAAATTTAAGGGCTAAATTAATTCAGGCGGAATTTTAGCATTATTATCTTGTGAGTAATTTAAAATTCAGATTTTTCAATAAATATGTTATAATTTAGGATGAATAACAGCACCGACTAAATATCCAAAATTAATACCATTGAAATTAATTAAAATATTAAAAATTTAAATTGGGATAATTTTTTTGTTAACTTTAATATTCTACAAACTCTGTAGTTTATTATTCGATTCAGATTTTTAAAATAAAGTAAATTAAAACCGTTAATAATTAACACAATTAAAATTATGTAATTTAAAAAATTTAAAGTTCTGCATTTTTCTTGGAAGTTTTGCAAATATATTGTCATTTTATTAAATTTGCATTAATTTATAATTATTTTTCTGGATTGTTTTAATTAAAAACTAAATTCTTGGATATTCAATAATTTTTTTAAAAAACCTTTTATTTGCTTATTTTTAAGCTACCAGCGCTCACTTTTCGTCCGGCTACGCGGTCGGATTCCTCTCGCCGGCGATTCCGCTCATCCGCAAGCAGCACCTTCCTGACCTGACCGAAGATCAGGAGGGCAACCTGGGCTCCCTGATGCTCCTGTCAGGAACCCTGGTCAGCCCTTTGGCAGCCGTTTTGGCCGACAGTCGCATCGGCCGCAAAGGCACTTGCATCCTGACAGCCATTCCGTTCATCGTTTGCTTTTCTCTCAACATTCTTTTTCCATCTTCCATCGTGGCTCATTACTGCGCTCGATTTTTCGTCGGTAAATATGAAAAATATTTTTATAAAACTCAAAAAACGATATAAGTTTATTAAAAAATTTAAGTTGACTTATTTTTGAAAATTAATTGAAAACTCAAATTTTTAAATTCAAATATAATTGTAAAATAATTATTATATAAAATAATTATTAATAAACCTCTTTGGAAGTAAATAATTAATAAGAATATCGCAAGAATTTTTGTTCCCTTTTTATACTAAATAATTAAAATTTGTTTTAAATTTAAAATATTTGTCAAAAGTTTATAATTATTTTGATTATTTTGTTATTCAGTAAACCTTCAAAATGTTAATTTTTTTTAAAATTTACAATAATTTTTTCATTTATTTTAGGAATTTCTGCCGGCACTCTAACAATAGTGTGCCCTTTGTATATTTCCGAGATCTCAGAGCTCTCGATTAGAGGTTCTCTCAACTCTCTGGTGGTGATTATGTTCAACTCTGGCCTCTTCGTTGCTTATCTCGCAGGTCTTTGACCCTCTTTAATTTTTATAAAATAAATAAAATGAAACTAATTTGAAAAATTGAAGGAATCTGGATTCACAGTTTTGTCCTGCTTTCCGTCCTCGGCCTGGCTCTCATTTTGATATTCCTCACTGTGTGTTGGTTCATGCCCGAGTCTCCAGAGTTTTTACTAAAACACGGCCACAAAGAGGCGGCCGTCCGCTCTTTAAGGAGACTCCGAGGCGCCAAAATTGACCTCCAAGAGGAGATGAAGTACATGGAAATCTCCAGAGCAGACAACACTGAAGATGGTGGGAAATAAATAAATAATATTTAATTGAAAATGACAAGAAAATATTTTTCAGATGAGTTATCAACCTGGAGGAAATTTGTCAAAGTTTTTGGCACCCCGTCGCTTCGGAAGGCAATTTTCATTCCGATGATTTTGATGTTTTTCCAGCAATTCGCCGGAATTATTGCTGTGATCTCTTACACCTCATCGATTTTTTCTATGGTAAATTGAAAATTTGGCTCTCGGGGAAAATTAAAATTTAATCTAAAAATTTTAAATGCGCATTAGGTATTATTATTATTTATATTTTTTTTAATTGCGCAGGAAAGAGGTAAAACAAAAAAATTATGATCTCATTATTATTTTATTGAATCAAAAAACATTCCCCTAAAAAAAGCTAAATTATTTAACTTTTTTTAATTCAAACTACTACAAAACAAAATTGTATTTCAGTTATTTATTTTATAGCAAACTTTTTTAGTGTATATTTTATTAAAATTAAATAAAAGTTACTTTTACTAAATTAAAAATTTTAGGCTGGTTCAACTTTGGACCCAAATGTGGCTGCCGCAGTGATCGGCCTCATCCAATTGGTGGCCACTTTTGGGACAACGGCCGCCGTCGACCGACTGGGTAGGAGGCCCCTTCTGCTTACTTCCAGCATCGTCACTGCCCTTTCGATGGCAACCCTAGCCTTGTACTTCCACGTAAGAATTCAAATTTCATTAATTAATTTTTTATTCTTCTATTAAATCTTATAAATTGCTTCACAATTTATTATTTTTATATATTAAATTAAATTTTTACTATTTTTTAATACGCAAAAAATTTCCATAGGGACAATTTTTTATCGTATTAAAAAGTTTATGAATTTGATTTTATTTCAGTTGAAGGCAAACGACGTGGATTTGAGTTCGTTTGGTTTGGTGCCTTTGGTGGCCCTTGTCGGCTACATCTGCTTTTTCTCCCTTGGCCTTGGTCCGGTTCCGTGGGTCATCCTGGGCGAGATTTTCACCCCCGACGTCAAAACCCTGTGCACCACCATTGCGAGCATGTGGGTGTGGGGGCTGTGCACAATTGTGGCCAAAATTTTCCCCACCCTGGTGGCGGCCCTGGGCATCCACTGGGTCATGTGGGCCTTCAGTCTGGGCTGCGTCCTCGCCCTCGTTGCTTCCTGCTTCACCCCCGAAACAAAGGGCAAATCCCCGTCTCAAATACAAGAAATGTTGGCACCTAAGCGAGGGCGCAAAGGTTGAATTAAGAAACTATATTTTGAAGATTTCCACGCATAAATTTTGTGCTGGGCCCTGCCAGATCCTTGACACTCTCTCCCACCTGTATAAATTTGATTTGAATAAAATTTCTCGTGCCTTATTTTAATCATGAGAATGTTATTATTGATATGTTTACATCAATTTCTATATATATTTAATATTTTTTCGTTATTTTTTCAATTTAAATAAATTATTAATTTTTTTGTAATAAATTTGATGCTCCACAAATAAATTTAACCTATATCGACAGAGAATTATTCTGGAAGTTCTAACTTTGAATAATATATTCACCTTCCTATTTTGCTAATTTGGTTAAAAAAAATCAGAAAATCATTTACAGATAATTTTTAATAATTTTTATAAAAACTTTTTTTTTAAATTCGAGCACCCATGTGTTGCAGCAGAGATTTAAGTTACAAAGGGACAAAAATGTACGCACACTGGAAGATGTTTGTATGGAAGGTAACAATTAATGAAGTTAGATGGAGCAGCTGATCGTTTCCTCTGATGAAAATTTGAAATGTTATAATTATTAAATTATTTCAAAAGCTTGACAGTCAAGGGAGTCTTGTGGGCTAGTATAAAAATTATCAGCAGAAACAACTTTACAAAAGGGAGATGTTTCCACCGCAATCTTGGTGCAGAACTGCAGAGGAAGAAAGCTGCGGATTTGATGCTCTCCGACTGAATATAAAAGGTGCCGCATTAATAGCCTAAATCCAAAGCTCAGCTTGTGTTATTAAGTTTGGTGGAAATTGCCTTTTATATTTTTATAATCCTGCCACACATTTTTTCTTTTTTTTTTAATGAAGTCCACAAGTTTTACTCTGGAATCTAATACATAATATACAATTCATACATTTTTATCACTCGAACATGTTGATGAATAAATTGCAGATCAACTGTTTGTAGTATATATACCCAATATACACAATCAAAATGGCTTAAATGGCTAAGCTTGTAGAATTTTTTTTAAACTCCTCCAAAATTTTTAAGAGTGGATGATCAAGTTTGGGGTTAATTTGAAGAAAAGTAGTAATTTCAGTTATTCAATGTGTAATAATTAATAAAAAAATTTTAATTTTGGACACTTTTCTAAACAGAATTTTGCAAATTTTATTTTTTTATTTTTACAATCCATCCACGACTTTGTATTTTTTAGTATTAATATCATAAATTATATGATATTTATTTTATTTAGTTTTTATCGTTTTTTCACAACAAAATCAAATAACGCATTAAAAATTCATACCGTTTATATTTGATTGAACATTCAAATCATCACAATTCAACTATTATAAAAACGTGCTTCCGCGTTCCAAATTCATAATGTATGCAACCTGCCTAACTTGAATGTAGAGCAAATTGCATAGAGCGACATTTATCAGTTAGGAGACATAAAATTAACAATAAAATATAATTTTTCTTGATACTATTTATGGCGGGCTGTGTATTGATAAATTGGCAAAATTCAATTTTTGGGAATTTTCTTACTTAGTAATAAAATCAAATGTTGTAACGGTGTTTATAGATGACCTGAGCACTGGCATTGAAAATTATTAAAAAAGTTCCGATCCCTCAGCGGATCAATTTATATTCATTATTGCAAGAGCGAGCGGTGCACACGTAATTTTAATTGGCTTAAAATCGGCTCAGCGTGCACAACCTTGTTGATTGCTGTGCGCGGACATTATATATATAGGGTCTGGGATTAATTTATTCCCCTCGCGCGTGTCATCATTTGCGCTTGGTTGTTGCCCTTAAATAATCTCTAATTCTGTTTTGAATTATTACTTTCCTCTCGAGTTGATCGCTGGCAAGTATTTTAATTGATAATAAATATTAAATGATACTTTCTCAAATTTTTGGAATTAAAAATATTAATATTAATAGCTTCAGAGACTTGGAATATAAAAGTACTGCATTTTTTAGTGATTCCAGTATTTTGAATTATTTATTTTATTGCTACGCTTGCATTATGAAACGTGGCAATTTTTATATGCACAATTTATTGATTATCTATTTTCAACTATTCCACAAGGGAGCAGACACGACTGTGCGTAATGCGTAAAGAGCATTCGACTGTCAATGCGCGCTAATATAATTTGACCGACGTCGCTATTGAATAATTCACCCTTTCTCTCATTTTGGTCGATTTATAATTCATGATGTGGACGGTTGGTCGACCGGCCCATTGCAGGACGCAAACTTTGCATGCGTACGAATTATTTAGCACATAACAGGCCGTGCGCAAAATAAAATTCGTCGCCCTCGGTACGTGCCCATAAACAAAAGCAAACAGTTCTATTAAAGGGGCCTGCGGCGGCGGCTCCAAAATTCGGAAAGTTCATCGATCCGCTGCATTAGAAATGCACGTCACACTCGCTGTACTGTACTGCACGCTTTGTCATCTCTCGCGTATAACAAATTTGCAAGTTAAAAATTCCCCTGTTTGGTTATAACAAGCGGAGTTGGTAAAGTAATTTATTCCGTGAATAAATTTTCATAAATCTTAATAACCAGAGCAAAGCCGGATTTATGCAAATTCCATCTGGAAGAAGAGCGATGGTCGGAAAACTCTTAAACGTGAGGATTTTTAAAAGAAAGTCTGCAAAGCGGACTCTTGGGAACTATGTATGAAAGTAACAAATATCTGCAATATATATAAATTTTTATTAATCTCTGCGGCCACGTTCGGTAAAACAGGAAACGTGTCAAACGTGCAAATTGAAAATCTCTCTTGCCAGCAGCGCGGTTTGCGGTGTGAAAAGAGATAAACCCCTTCAGTTTGGCAAGAAGAACAAACAGAAGCGCCGAATATTTATCGACTTGTGTGCATGGCGATTACAAAAAGCAGCCACCGCGCCACTCTCTGCGACTTGCCTTTCACACACATGTGCTTCTGTGTAAGTATGGGAACCACGTGGCCGGCCAGCCAAGTCGACTCGCAACGCGCAGTCCTCTTTTATTCTATTCTAGGGTGGGACAAAAATCGAATGAGAATTTGCATTAGGTGTTTCAACCTGAAAATCATTCCAAAACATTTAAAAATATCATCTTTTTCAGTAATTTTCAATGATTTTTTATACTTTTTATTAAATTTTTTATTAAATGAAAAACAGTTGATATTATCCTTTCTTTAGATAATTTTCTCATATCACACATTATAATGTATTTATTGGTATTTCAAATGCAATTCAGCTTTTCCGCAATGTGCTATTCGAGTTGTTTTTAGTTTTGTATAGAATAAACAATTATCCTTCTTTTTCTACGAAAACAAACTGCGACACAAATAACCATCGAAGAAAAAGCAAATTTCAATTGAAACACTCTTTATCGCGAATTTGTTAACAAAACTGTTTTAATTGCTATTTTTATAGATCATTGTTAATATTAATTATATATTTTTACTAACCTGTTTCTGAATTTGCATAAAATCTATTCCAAATGACAATAATTATATTCCAATCTAAGGTCAAAATAAATTAAATTTAAGAAAATAGCTTTATTTTCAGTTGCATTGTAATAAATCTCAATAAAAGTTTTTACGTGGATCTACTGAAATTGTGCGATTATATACTAAAATTTTTGTCAAATGCAACATAATTGGCCTGGATCTTGGTAAGCAATAAATGATTTCTCGTAATTTTATGCAGCCGCAAACCGGTGATGGGAATATTAATTCCGGTCGAAACAATCGCAGCCACCGTATTCCCCTAAGGACTTGTAAAATGCGTCATTTGGCGCCGTGCCAAAGGTTCTATAGATAGAATTGCCACTGATTTTTAAATTGCGATGAACAAACGGAAATAAAAAAAAATCTCGATTTTTTCCCTGTATTTCTTTTATTTGAATTCCAAATCGAGGCTTTGCGATGCGCCACGTGTGCTGCGCGCATTTTTAGTGCTGGTGGCGCGACCCACCCTGTAACAGCGGGAATTCTATTCGGAGTCGCCGCTTTGGATGCGAGTTAGTAGGGCGGAGGCAGTCATTAGCACCGCATGCACCTTGAGCTGCTTTGTGGCCGGTACGTTAGTTATTTCCTTCTCTCTCAGCTGACCGAGTCGCACACTTTTATTGTCTGTTATTTCCGCGCACCCCGTGGCGAGCGAGGATTCTCAGGTGTAATATTTTATTTATCACCCTTTTTGGCTTTTATACATTCCCGCGAGAGAAAGAAGCCTTCCTTTCCTTTTTTTGTGTGTGACGTCGCGATTTAGTTTGAGTTACGGCTTCTGTGATTCGCGCCGACGTCAATTCTCTCACATGCACCTTCGGGGCACAAAACTTTTTTAATAAATCTCCCTTCTTTTCTTTACAATGGTACACGAGGGAACTTTTTTATAAATTGGAATGAGCAAGTTTCGCTAAAAAAAATTAGCCTAAAACTTTTGTTGAAAATTTCTTGCCTTGTTATTTTAACGAGAAGAAAGATTTATTTTCTCTTTGCCTCTAATCAACGTTCTCGGAGATGTACAAAAAGGAGAAGCTCTTTCATAATTCGCAACAAGTCGTCCTTCTCTCTGTGTATTATTTTGCTTTTGATGTTTGTTAACTGGCAGAATAGCGTGCGCAAAAGTATATTTTTAGCATTTTCTGCCCGCAATTATGAAGAGCACCTGCGTTGTAGAGGGAAATTTCACAAAGGCGTGCGAATTTTGCGGAACTTTACCTCTTCATTATATTGCTAATGAGACTCAAAAAGTCCTCTTAATAGAAAAATGTTGAATATTCTTTTTTATTTGAACATCTCGAAACGCTGTTGTTCTAAGTTACAACAAATTTTGAGCTTATAGCTGGATTTTTCAAACAAATGATTTTTTTCATGAATAAGGCTAAAAAAAATTTTATTTAATCATTTAAAGTCAAAGGTTACGTAGTGTATAAATTTAAAACAACAGTTCACATGAAAAAAGGGGTAAAAACAGTAAAAACACTCTTTTACAGCAGCATCAATTTTGTAATTGTTTTAATTGCTAAAAAATTAGTTATTGAGTAATCATAAAAAATCTGTCATTTTTTTGGAAAATAATTCTGATAATGGATCTTTGAGAATAATTTAGAATATTAAAAATATTTGACCAATAAAACGTCTTCCTTTTTACTTCTCTAGATGTTAAAAACATTTTTGAGACCCCCAATTTTTGAATCACATAAAAAACATTCCCTTAAACCTTAAATATTATCAATCAATTTAATTAACAAACGTTTCCATAATAATACCTTCTTATACTTTTCTAGTTAGGAAGACTTTACATGTAAATTTTATTTTTTGAACTAAACTTTTAGACTAAAAAGTCTTTCTTGTGGGAAAAAGTTACAAAAATTTTCAGTCTGCAACAAAAATCATTAAAAATTAAAATCCTTCTTTTGTAACAAAAAGATGATTATTTTCGCACAATGAATTTTTTATGAATATATCACCGAAATTTATTTCCAACCAAAAAAAGATACATTTTTAAACATAAATTATTTAAATAGGTTATGTCGGAATTCAGATCAGGCCAAGAAAATGGCCAGTTGAGTGCCGATTAGACTATTTTTATTTTTTCTACCCATGTCGCACAACAAAAACTCTACCGTGCGTAGATATATTCCAGAGCATGCACACGGCACCGTTCTGCATAATTTGCGCATATTAGATTAGCCGCGGGTCTTTTTATTGGGCAAAGCAAGAAAGGGTCCAGGAATTAAGGCCGTGTGCATGTTAGTAGGCGTGTGTGTGTGTGTGTGTTTACCCTATGTACCTCATATTTCACGTGCAAAAGGCGGAATTTCCACATTGGCGTGTGCCTTTGAAAAGCTCAATATAAAGGCAGAGGCCGCATGCAATAATAATAATTTAGGCACACTCGCTTGCGTACAAGTCTTAAATTACCGCGCCAAACAGCTCCGAAGTGCGCGACCGTTTGTTCTTGTAATGGAACAAATTTCGTTCTCCCTTGTGTTTCACGAGAGTAGCACCTGTTAAAAATTGTAGCATATTATGCACACATTTACGTGCAGCAGCTTCAACTTTATCATTTTGACGCGGTGTTCGCCGTGCACGGAAATTCCAACTTTTTTAATTAAAAAAGAAAAAAATGGTGAAATAATCCCATGCGAGTCACTCCGAACAGATCGAATGAATAATCACAGATTAAAGTAGATATAGACGATATTAAAACCAAAAAAAGTGCACAATTTTGTATTCTTTTACAAAATTGCTAAAAAAAAAAAAATGTAATTAAAACATTTAAAGTTTCAATTTTCAAAAGGTTCTTGAAAGCTTTCAAAATATTTGAAATATTACTGATTTTTTTGCTTAATAATTATCACTTGAAAGTTTCACTTTATATTTTGAATTTTAAAACTAAATGCAAGGGAAAAGATTGAAATGTTCCAAATAAAATAAAATTTTTTTTTATTAAGTTAGGCTAAAAATTTTGGTGTATTTGCAAATTTTATCCAATTTAAAAGCACCAATATCTACTTTAGATCGATTTGCAGCGAGTGAAAGGGTCAAATATACGCCCCAATTTAAAAAGAGTCTGACGCGCAAATAATGAAAGGTAGGGGCGGTCGCGTCAAATTAAAATTTCCGGCGGTGCTCCGTCCGTACGGATTGAGTGGCGCAGATTTTCCGCTTCTGCGAACGGCACTCTTGATTTTTTTTCCACCCCTGAGGTAATCAAGGAGCATACAAATGTGCTGGTCTCTGCAGTATGTAGTGCCAAAGTGGAGCGGAGCGGGGCAGCTCCGCCGACAGAGCCAAGGTAGAAAAGCCGAGGGAATTCATGTATATGTGTGCGCTAAAATTTCTCCCTTTCCCTGCACGCTGCTCTGCACATTCGCGCATTCAACAATTTATGCGGCACGAAAATGGCCATTTTTCAAATCCACCCGTCCGCTCTGCATGACACACAATTCCTCCTAGACTTTATGGCGAAGATCTTTCTCTTCTTCCAAAAAGGTCGCCCTATCTTTCACTTGAAATTGTTTATCAAAAAATTTAATTCATTGTGAGAGTTAGTCTATAAAAAACTCTATTCCCAAAAATTTTAAAAAGGAAATATTTTAAGTATTTTTAAGTTCAATTAAAATAGGAGTAATTTTAAAGAAACTTCTAATGCTTTCAATATTCATTCAAAGTCTCATAAAGAAAGAAGAGTTGTTTGATCCAGAAATTATATTTTAGTTTAATGTAGGAAATTTAATCATGATACTTTTGATTAAACTAATAGTTAAGAAAAGGTTAACACGTTATGACTTTAAAAAAAAAAAAAAACAGTAAAAAAAGGAACGCTCAATGCGGCTCAATAAATGTGTAAATCGTGAAAATAAGTCATTTTTATAGCATTAAAATTCAATCTTTGTGATCTGTGAATTATTAAATTTATTTTAAGCTTTGTAAGGGTTGCCGTTTTCAATTTTTAAGGGGGATAAAAGTAAACTTTCCCGTTGGGATTTATATCTTTTGCTTGAATTCAGTCTGTTGTTATGTAATTATTGGATTATTCCAGGAACGGATGAATGTTTCTTCGGGGAAATCAAGCAGACAGCTCAGCGAGGGCCCCTTTCGTTCTTTCACTCTGCGGTTTGAATAAGCACGTAGGTAAATTTATTTTCATAATAAACACGCAGAGCCTTCCTTCCATTGCACTTGTGGGAAAAATATATAAGATTTTTTAGGGTATGGCAAAAAATTGGGCAATATAAAGAAGAGGGGATGGAGCTTTGCACTAAAATTTGAAAAAAGACCCCAAAAAGTAACATTTATTTATATAGCTTGAAATTTACAAGTTTAGTTTTATATAAATTAACAAAAAGTTTTGTTTTGTTAATCCTTAAAATTGTTACGAATGATTCTTTAAACAGATTTCCATACTTAAAAAGAAATTTTTATACTTTCCGTAATTAGCCCAGCGTTAATCTTTGTTATAAAATTAACAATGAGGAGCAAATTAAAAATTAACTATTAAAAAGAAATTCATTTAGCGATTCCAACCTAGTTTGATCCGGATTATAATTTGCCGTGAGCTCAAAGGCGGCGCTTATGCATTTAAAATTAAATTCCGCTTTTGATGCAGCCATGGCAGAAAATCCGCGTGCTGTGAATTATTAATTGCAGCGCACAGAGATGCAGTGCAGATGATGATTCTCCGCTGCTCTACGGAGAATGAATGAATTTTGAACCGAGTTCCAACTTGTTGTCTTTTGCTCCAAAGAGAGAAAGAAAAGTATGAGAGGAGAGAATAAAGACCGTGCTTCCCCATTCAAACAGACTAAGGGATGTGCAAACATACTGCGGCGTTTTATAATTTCAAACAAAGCAACCGGAGAGAGGGCACCTTTTGTGCTCCCAGCACCTGCTTTTTAGAAAAATGCTTTTCAAAAGAGAGACAGAGACTTATATTTCTCTTCTACCTGTATGTGATGATGATGACGTGTCACGTGCTGCTCTGGAAAAATCGCATTCATGCTCAGCGATGTGCAGGTTTTTAAAAATGAAGCACATGAAATTGAAAAAGTTTTGGCATTTTTTTTTGCAGCCGACTGGAAAATTCCGGAACAAAGTTTGAAAGATGAAAAAGTTAGGGCAGAGTTTCAACAATCTGTTTAGTAAATCTTTTAACTTCAAACTTTGTATTTTTAAATATTTGTGTCTAAATTCTAATTCAACAATAAATCAAGTGAATTTAAAAATTTTGAAAACTTTTTGAAATAATTTTTAATATTTAAATTAATCTTCATTTCAACAAAAATTTACTTTAATAGATTTTCAACGTAAATAAATCATCAAAATTTATGTAGAAATAAAAATAAATTTAAAAAAACAGAATTATGTATTTCAATTTCCTCTTAGTAATTTAGTGTTTTAGACATTTCTTTTAATCAAAAATTTTACTGCACTTGAGCTAAAAAAACTTGCTGATGGTTTAAAATTTTTATCAAAAGTCTCCATCAGCATATAAAAAAATCTTATTGCACCCGGGAGTGAAAAGAAAGGGGTGGAATAACGACTGCTTTTTTTATTTTGTGGAGGCCCTGCGCTTATACACGTACATAAGGTGGCGACCGGAGCTTAAGTCACGCTACTTCGTGATCTCACCGATAAATATAATATGTTATTATGAGTGGCAGCGGCGGCGGCGGCGGTCTAGTCGATCATTATCCTTTAACGGCCGCGAGTCAAGGGTTTACATTTATATTTCGGCGTGTTTTGTACCTACGAGGAAATTCTTTCTTTCGCTATCCAATCGCATTCCAGATTAACAAGCCACGTTTTATCACGGAAAGTGGATCGCTGCTTTATTTTTGCCCTCGCCCACGCCCATTCATCAACAGATATCATATAATATTTTCACCGATTCGATTGCGAGTTTCGAAAAGGCCATAATTCATCGCGCAGGGATAAAATTATATAGCAGATAACGGCCTCGTGAATTTTTATCGTTTTAGAATCGCTGCCCCTGCAATTGATTTTGTTAAAGGCAGACACTTGTGTGGCATCAGCTCAAAAAATTTAATATATGTGTGAGCCTGAAAAAATATAATATTTTTATATTTAATAAGTTAAACCAATTTTAAAAAATTATTAATAGAACTTATTTTTCAAATTAAATTTTTTAAACATAGTAATTATTTAAATTGATAAATTAAAATTTTTACAAACAATACAAGATATTTAAAAAGATTCAATTTATACAAAAACCGGAAAAATACACAAAGTTAATAAGTAAAAATAAATATTGATGCCTTCTGATTTGAAAAGACAAAATAAATAAATAATTTATTAATATTTATTTAATTTTTTTCAACTTCCACTATAATTACTAAACACAATAAAAATAACTTTTAAGAGAGGTAACAGCTTTAAACTTTTATTTAAATTTTCATTCACAAGTTTATTCTCAAACCCGTCTTTGTCCCTAAAAGAAAAATTAATTACAAGAAGAATATAAATTGCATATTAAACTCATTATAAAGAATTCTCCCTTTCTCTCGGAATGCACCCTTAAAACCCAAAACGAACCGGGTTGATTGGCGCAATTAAAAGGTGAATTTATTGTTGCAGCTGCGGCGGCGGGATGAGCGGCGGGTGCGGCAGTGGTCGGGGCACCGCCGTAGTCAAGAGAATGCGGCTCTTCTTCTGCTATCTGCTGCCGTGCTCATTAATTTTAATCTTCGTTGCGGCTCACTCCAGGCAAGTTGGCCCAAAAGTACACCCAATTAACACACTTTGCTTGCCGATCGCTCTCTCTCTCGTCTTTTCTCTTAATTAAAGTGAACCTGTGCCAAGATTGTGCGAGAGAGATTCGTGAAGCCGAAAAGCACCTCAAGACTTATTGAATTGCAAGAAAATTCTATTAAGAAAGAGCATTAAATAAGGCACTATGTCTTTTAATTTCAGTTGGAAACAAAGTTCAGCAGAAAAAATAATGGGTTATAGGATATTGAATTATATAAGAAAAATTTTATCATATTATGTTATCTTTGAAAGGCATTTTTACATCGAAATTTTAAAATATTCATCTTAATGTTATTTCAAGATGAATTTTATCTGCCTTTAAGAAACAATTCACCTACTTTTTTTTTAATTTTTCATATTTTTTCCTTGGAAATGACACTCTGTAATTATTAATATTGTGTAAATATCAATCAAATTTAATCAGTCCAGTTAATTTAACAAAAGCATATTCTAGATTCTTAACATGTTCTAAAATGACAATGCTGAAATTTCGCTATGAAATTTTTATAACTTTTTTTAACAAAATTCTAAAACTTATCAAATTATTGGTTTGCTTTCTGCCTTTTTTAGTTGAAAAAATTGGCAATTTCACCCAAAGAGTTGCATTTAAATCATTAAAAACCTCACGTCGCGCACTCGATTTCGTATAAAATCGCGCAGCCAAACGTGCCGCAATAAAGCTCACAAGCGTGTGTGCGCCCCTTGATTTACGCAGGTAGGCTTTTTGTCGGTCACGTTTGCCGCGCCGGTTGCCTATAACGTCAGGCAGCAGCCCGGAAAATTGCCCCGCGTTGGAAATTAAATATTGAAATGCGGTGGAAAGATAAATAAGCGAAAAATTCACCGGTTTGCTTTGAATCTCAAAACTCCGGCGGCGATTCCTTTGAGAAAGTTCCTTCCAAGAAAATAACAATTTCCTTAAAGAAAATGGATTATCTCTAGCGTGAGCATATTTTATTAAAACTTTCAGCGGTGAGGGAGTTGGCGCGAGTTGTTTCTTAATTGCAAGCAAGTCTCGTCGCGCCTTGGCTGCTTCATATTTATGGCTTACTTGCATGAAGGGAATAATTTTTTTGCGGCGTAATGGAGGTTTTTGCTTCAAAGAGCTTTTCCACCACATAGAGCGGATTACGTGGAATTCGACTGAGGCTTTTCCTCTCGTGCAAAAATAGAAAAGCCGAATTCTGCAACGAGCTAGGCCAGTAAGTAATCATAATCATTTTGAAAGTTCCCCAAAGTAAGAAAAATAAAATATCCCACAGCTATCAGCAATCCCTCTTTTAGTAGATTTTTCTTTCAGAAAAAAGTAGCACCAAAATTATTTATAAACTTAATCTGATGAAATATTCTCTTTTTACCAAAAAAGATGTTTTTCAGCTCAAATTTCAGCTGGAAAAGCTTCAGATAATGTCGTTTTTTAAGCAAAAAACAAATATCAGTTTCTTTAGCAATTTAATAATATAAACTTAACTAAGAAAACACAAATTTTTTACGAAATCAAGCCACCTCAATTGGTAAAAATACCGAAAAATACATAAAAGTTGTCTTAAAGTTCCTAATAAAATAAAATTTGTAATACTATTTCAAAGCAAAAGTAAAATGTCTTAAAATAAAACAGAATTTGAAGGAAAAGTTTGAAAATAGTTAAATAACCAAAACAAGTGAAATAGCCAAACAAAGTTTCAATCATATATATATTGAATCGGAACGAAATATAACAAAATTGAGTGTTAAGTTAACATGTATTTGAATTTGTTTTAAACATCTTTGTTGTTTAGTTTGAATTATTTATTTTTTAATTTATTCCGAACCCGTCCATGATTTTTTACCATTTTAAATTATTAAATTTGGGCAATTTTCGAGTGCTGCAATTTTTATCGGCCAATTTTCACCAAATTTAAGCCAATTAGGGCCAATTTTGTTCTTTGATGAATATTCCAAAATTACAAAGCACCTCTGGGCGTGTCGCTCGCGTTTGATTCCGCTTTCCCTCTCACGCAATGACGACTTCCCCCGTTTTACATAAATCTCTTTGTGATGCAGGATGAGCAGCAGGATGCTTCCGATGTGCCTTCCGCAGACCAAAGTGGGCTTCCTCAAAATGCACAAATGCGCCAGCAGCACGGTGCAGAACATCCTTTTCCGGTACGGCGAGTCACACGATTTGAACTTTGTGCTGCCGGGCAGCAACAACTACCTTGGCAAGGAGGCGCCGTTTAATCGGACGCAGGTGGGTCGCATTTTATGAGTCGCCGCTTTTGTCCCTAAATTTATTTCCCCTAAAACCAATTTCTTCATTTAGCCTAGATTCAGAGACCGTAAATACATTTCCCCGCAGCTTTTTTATTCCCTCCAAGAATTAATTGTCTGAAAAGTATTTGCTCTTAAAATGGAAAATATTTTAATAAATGCAAACATCATTATTCATTATTTGCAACATTAGCATTATTAAATTATTTTATCAATAATTTAGAGTACTATACTTTTCAAAAACTTTAAGGGTTCTTGTTTTAGGGGAAATAAGGGGTTCCCCCAATTTATTTGCTGACGCGTCTACCCCGCCGAAATTTATCTCTTTCTGTTTTTGCAGATTGCCAAGGTGCCGTGGCGGGGAATTGGCTATGATATGTTCGCGGTGCACACTGTTTGGAGCACGCCTGAGGTGAGGGCATTGCTCGGTCCAGCGGCCACCTTTGTCACCATCGTCCGTGACCCCGTCGACCTTTTCGAGTCCCTTTACACCTACGCTAGGTGGGAGCACCTCTTCAAAATGAGCTTGCCCAGGTAAAAATTTTATTTGATCCAGCGACTTTTAATTCATTTACAAATGATATTACTGTTTTTGATTATTTTGAAAAATATTCATAAAGACTGGTGAAGAGGTTTATTTACCAAAATAGACAACTTGATAATTAATAAAGAATTCATAAATGCCCAGATAAATTTGTTTTTGAACCAAAAAGTGAACCAAAATTATACGCTGTTTTATAGTTTATATGAAGGCACTGATTTTCAAAGTTAGTTTATTTTAAGCTATTTCTAACACAATTTTTCAGAAAATTTTACGATTTAAATCGTGGATGAAAAACAGCAATGAAAATGTTGGAGAAATTTAATTAATACAAATGAAGAAAACTTCATAAAAAGTCTGAAAATGATATACAGAAGTTCTAAGAATTCAGAGGCTGAAAGGAGTTTTTTTTATGAAAAAAAAAAAATTCCAAAAACGACGTTTTGAGTCTCATACATTTTTAAACACAAACAGTATATGGCTCAATTCGCAAAGATCCATTAACAGAAATAATTTAGGAGCAAAATATTAAAAATATTTCACAGGTCTTGTTATATTTGATTTGAAAATATATGTTAAAATATTGTTTTTTGTGTCGCGTGCAAAAGAGGTATTAGCTTTGTAAAAAGAATTCACCGATTAAAAAGTTTTCCATCCAGCAATAAAAGCTGTCTTGTTAAAATTTGCATAGATAAACATTCAAAGAATGATAAAAATTCAGTTGCTTTTTGCTTGGATTTTATTTTTAAACCATCCATTTATATCTTTTCCTAAAAAAAAATTAATTGTTTGAATTAATTTTTTAATTTGAATTTGTTTAAGATTTGCAAGGGCCGTGTCCCTGAATACAACGAGGAGTCAGGATTTCCTGACGGTGGGCGCCGGTTACTCAGGCCACAACCAAATGCTCCACGATTTCGGGCTTCCAGAACGAGACTCGTACTCCGAAGAGAAGGTGAATAATTTAATTTATTGTCCCACGATCGAAATTAGACCCAACTTTATAAATTGGTCAGTTGCAGTCTATCTAAACAAAGAGGGTCGGCGCCGCGTGAATAATGCATTTTTGTCTGTTAAAAATTAATGCGCTTCGGCACGCGTTTCCCTCGGGTCATAATTCGACGAGAGGTTTCCCTGCTTTGTTGATGCTTGCGGTTTTATTAAGGTGGCTTGATGTCGCACGTGGCCCCAAATCGATAGGCTTAATTGCAACATCGCATGTCGCCCAACATTTCTCGGCTCATTTTGTTTCCGAACAAATATTTGTTGCTGGGGGGTGCATTCATTTTTCACATTAATGTGCCGTCGAAATTTATTCTGTGAATCTCGCCGCCGCGTTAAGTATAGAGAAGCGTGCGTTTGGATAATTGGCGTGTATATATAAAAGCATTGTGTTCGGAGCGAGAGGGAAACACACACACATGCACAGCAGATAATTTTAACGAGCACTCGCGCCAAATGTAATAACGCCGGTTTAATTATTTAAATTACACGAACGCAGAGATTACTAAGCCAAAAACGTGTTTGCGACACCGTGAATTTCAGATGTGTTCTGAGATCAATATAATTCCTACTTAAGTTCGAGTTGAGTTGTTGAGTTTGTCAGTTTGCAAAAGTTTCATTCCTAGACCAATAAAGAAATAAATCTATTTTTATTTCCATTTTTTTTTCTTTAAATTTATTTAAATGCAAGCAGAGAAAATCTATCACAATGTCACTTTTTAAATTTTTTACTTCATTTAAAAAAATTAGCAATATATTAAAGAAAAATTAATAAAATCGCCTAATAAATAATCAGTATTTTAGTAAAAGAGCAAATTTAAAACTCTGCTGTTAATCTTTTTATCCACAAGCTATCAAATTTTCAATTTTCATAATCATTTTTCACGTCACTTCTATAAAAACGAAGCAATTACCATATATTTTCATTGTACGTCCATAAAATATGCCAAAACCGGCGGCGCCTCTATAGTGTAGTCGAAGCTTTTTTGCAGCGGGGCGCTCGATTTTCGTCGCTGAATATATATGCACGGATGGATCGACCTAATTATATTCAATTATAATTCACATCACAAAGGCGAGCACAATGGGCACTTCTTGCGGATAAAATCTGCTTTTAGCATATGTCTGCGCTTTCCCTGAACCAACCGACTGACTGACTGTGAAGCGGCGACACTTGAGAAAGTACATGTGCGACGGAATGAATGTCTTTTATATTCCGAGCCTTCCGAGGCCCTATTATATATTGTGTTGTGAACCAGCGTAATATGTGTTATTGATTTTCAAAAGGGATTATATAGTAAAAAATTACTCATTTCAATTCAAATTAATAAAAAAAAAAAAAAAGTTAAAATTTATTTTTCCATTTCAGGTGAAGCAGAAGATTTCGGAAATCGAACAGGATTTTGATCTGATCATGGTGGCCGAAGAACTAGAAGCCTCTCTTGTCCTTCTGAGCGAACTCCTGTGCTGGCCCTTGGACGCGATGGTAGCCCTCCCTGTCAACGTCCGCTTTCCTCAGTACAAAAGACCACTCGACGAGCAAACCCGAGCCCTTCTCCGCGACTGGCTGTGGGCCGATCAGATGCTCTACGAGCATTTTTGGCACCTCTTCCAGAAGAGAAAACTCGAGTTCGGGGCCGAGAGACTGCAGGAGAACATAGCTAAACTGCAAAGACTGAATTACGAAGCAAGAGAAGTGTGTGGCGTGTCTGAGAATTACTTCGACAATTTGACTGGAGTGTTCAAACCGTCAAGCAACCTGGTCAAAGGTTATGATGTGAATAACAGGACCAGATGTGTTAATATGGCCCGAAGTGAACTGAGTTACATTGATATTTTACGGAGGAGGCAGATGGAAAAAGCTGTGGTCGCAGCGCAGGAGAGAGCAAGTGAGGGAGAAACCAATCGACTGATGTAAAATTTAAAATTATTTGTGATAAAGTTTGGTTGAATAAAAAACCTTGAAACCTGAAAAATATAGTAAAACTGAAGAATATCTTTTTAATAAATTTTATTTTACTGCACTTAAGAGATCTAAATGAATTAAAAAGAATCGAAGATTTAAAATTTTAAAATTAATAAAATTCAATAGAGTTGAGAACACTGAATTCTAGAAGTCGTCTGTTATCACAATGATTTGGTAATTTATTTTCTATACAAAATGGAAGTTTATTTAAAAAGGCAAAATATTAATATATAGATCAAAAGTAAATATTTATTCAAACAATAATTATATAAGACTTTTTGCTATCACAAATTTCAATCTTCACTAATTTTCCAAAACGCCCGAGCTGAGCCCTGTCCAGCGATCAGGAACAGGAAGGAAGTAACGATGCATGGCAGCCACAAAACGAGCCCTGTAGACCTCCGGTGACACTATGGTTGGCATTTTGCCATGGCCACCCAAAATTCCGGACGACTTCACCATAGTTTCCAGTTTTTTGTCCCAAGTAAAGAGACGAACGTAGTCTAAAGCAATGCATAACATTACAATAAAATCAAATTTTTCTTAAAATTTGTTACTTACCGATAATTCCAAGGACAAGTTCCTTGCTCTGCTCGTCAAGCCCTACCAACAGAGAGTAGTCCATAACAGCCTGAGATGAGAGGAACTGAGTGTCCCGTTCAATAGCCAAGGTCAAAACCATTTTGCAGTGCGGAAGAATGTACAACGGCGCCTCGCAAGACACTAAAGTTTAATTTTTAAGAATTGATATAAAAAAAGAAATTGATTTTCGAGTTTACTTTTGATTAGATTCTCATCCAAGAGGACAATTTCCTCTCCCTGGGCATTTGGTCCTGAGGTCTCGACCAATCTGTTTCGCTGAGACCCCTTCAGATCGAACCGTTGGGTGATGGTTCGGCCGTAAAAGAGATTCTCCATCACTAAGAGATGAGTTTTGTTGGAGGTGCTTGAGCTAATGCCTCTGTAGGAAATTCGAAAAGCTCCGACGATCTTTCCCAACAAGGTCGGCTGTCCCGACTCGAGGCAACTCCTAATGTAATTGAGATAATTTGGAGCCACCTCCAAAAACAGTTGGGCTTCGTTTTGACTCATCTCTTTCAAAACAAATCGATCGTCTGTAATCAAATTCAAGTTAAAAAATTACAAGATTTTTCTATTTACAACATTTACCTTTAGTTTTGCAGAAGGTAGACCCTGACTTTCCACCCCTGGCTGCCCACTGAACACATCCGGCCAGTGACCTTATGAAACTCTCCTCTCCGTCTGGACAGACAATTTCTCTGAGCTGGCTGAATTGGTCGGCAAAGAAAATGCGACAATGGAATGACGTCGAGTAATCATTAAAATGGACATCGATAGTTGATTCCGGAGTCTAATTATGAACAGTTAAGTAGTTTAATTTCGTATATAATAAATGGTACTTTTCTTACAACAGTTGAAAGGACCGAGCTGCTTCTGTTAGCTCCTCTGCTCTCTTGCTCTGGTTCTTCTGATGCATTCAGGTGCTGCTGAACTGGTTCGGCATCAGAGTTTCGACTGCCGGTCCTATTTGCGTTCAAGTTGGGACTGCTACTTCCTCTCAAAAAAGAAAGAACTGTCCTCTTAGTGGAATTTACAGAGTCACCAGATGCCACTAGTTCACTATTTTTTATAAATTGATTTTAATTTGAACCATTTCATGTAAGAAAATTCTGACCTTGCTATGGGAACATCAGAATTAGTTAATAATCTGTACTCGGCCAATTTCCTTTGATATTCCGAGGAGCTCAATGCGTAAGCCACTATGGAACTTGGCTCATTGGTGTTCACCAAAACCATAGGACCAGCTGGCTGCGGTAAAAGATGGTGTTCACAGACACCCAGTGGAGACTGACACAAATAAAAATTATCCTCAAAATCAGAATATTAATCTTTTAGTTACTTGAATGGTGTAAACATTAGTTGTTGATGTCATGAGCTGAGAAATTATTTGCTTGACGGAAGTTTGATTCTGAATAATGGACTTCTTTTCCAATTTTGATGCCCCATCCACCAAGCTGACAGAGTTGGTTGGAAATTTGCTTTCACCCTCCGAGTGCGACCTCTCGTGACCTTTACTCTGGTTGTCAAAAATTTCAACATCTGGCACTGGAAGAGGCATATTATTTTTGTATATTAAGTCTTCTTTAAGTTTTGATTTGCTTAAGTGCTGGAACTAGCGGATTACCTTCGAGAAAAAGATCAATTATTTCCTCGGCAAGTGACACGTCATGCGGGAGAGCAGAGTCATTCTCGTGTGTGAAGGACAAGCGCCTAGGCTCCAGTGCCTCAACAACTAAATATATATACATGCATTTTACATGCAAAAATTATTAACAAAAGCTCTATTCTAGGAACAACTGAGGTTAAAGAGCATGCATTTGGGAACAAATAACACTGAGTTGTAATTACCATCTAAACTTGAAATTTTCTTTATGTTTTCAACACTGGAGGCCCAAAGGTCCTCGGGCCCACTGTGCTGATACTCAGGAAATGGAGTGCTCTCTGCACGAAGAGCGTCCGTGTTGCTAATTTGCTTTGGTGAAATAAATTAAATCAAAAATTTAACCATATTAATTATAATTCTGTAAAAATCTACCAATTGGTTGTCCGATGGGCTGCTCTGTTCTTCACAGACATCACTGCCAGCAGACTGGTTCAGAAGGGGAGAAGGAGTTGCTGCCTCTCGCATAACAGGGTCGCCCTTTCAAAGAAAATTAAGTGAATTAGTTTTTAAATGGATCCAGATTTTTGTCGTTTACCTCAACAGTTACTTCCGACGTGCCCTTTTTCGATTTTTCATCCTTCTTTTTAGCAACTTCAGCTATTCTTGAATTCCATACAAACACAGCATCGGCAATCATCCTCTTCAACTGCAGCAGGCTGTCCTCAATATCCCAAAGTCTATCTCGGACATACGACTCTGATCTACCTCCGTCAAGCTTAGGCGACGTCAGTTTGATTTGGATATCCTCGATTTTGGTCTTGAAAGAGGAGTTGTCTTTGTTGAGTTGACTCTTCAGTCTGGTCAGAACTGTAAACAAGTTTTGATTTGGAAAAAAAGTGACAATTGTGCAGGTTCAATATACGCTCATGGTCGCTTGAACAATGCAAGAGGAAGTCTGAAACTGTTTAGCTACTTCACAAAAATTCAACTCGTAATAAAATAATGCTTACCTTCCTTCTTGGCAGGGTCTGCTTCAATCCCAATATCACAGAGTTTCTCAACAACGGAAGAAAAAACTTCATACCCCTTGAGAGCAAGTTGTTTCACCTCTTCATTAGCAGCAGACTGGATCTCCTCACTAGCCTTGTATGGGATTTGAATTACTGTGGGGGGCAGTGAAATTTGCCACATTTGCACTTTAATGAACCTGATAGAAAAAATGTTACAAAATTAATAGGAGGCTCATGTCAATAAAAAAATAAAATACTTGAATGTGGCAATCACGTCTTTGTATCCGAAATACTGGTAATGCTGCTGATGGATGGAATGCTTGCAAGTGTTCTCTTTACCTCTTCTTGTGTACACCGGGCTGTGAAACCGAAGTTCCAGATACTTGGCTAGCGATAGAGACCATGTGTCGACAGACATTGGTACTACAGGCGAAACCTTTCAGAATATTCTCAGGTAAGTTATAGTGATATTGAGACTTTTAACTAAAAAAACATGCCTGTTTGCAAACAGCACACCAACTCCACATTAGAATTGCATTTCCTTCTACTGGAATTTGGCTGTCAAGTTGTTTCAATGTCACCTACAGATCAATAAAGTAATTAATTACTAAAAATATGTTAAGAATTTTTGAATATGCCTGAATGCAACTTCCGTCATGGACAAATCTCCTTATGTGTCTCAACATTGGTGTGGCACATGTTTCAGACGGGCAATTGTACGAACGTCTGAAGCAGTACTCATCTAAAAATTGTCCAAGCGGAATGTCATGTTTTCCATAGAGCTCCATATGTACAATCCTAATAGAAATATGAATGTAAATTACACAATCAACTATTATTTAATAAAATCTAACCAAGGGTTAACGCAAAAAGCAGGCGCATTTCCCGAATCAGAAGAAAAGCTGCAGAACAAAACTGCTAACTTCTGGTGGTTGTATGGACTGAGAGAGTCTACCGGAGTCTTCAATTTGCTTGCTTCGCCAGACTCAGCCTCCTGTTTAATTTCTTGTGAAGCTGGCAATGGCTCGTTTGGATGTCTCAACCTGCGTCCGACAGCTCTGAAGTTAGCCAGCATGGCTTGGACATCAACATTTTCTATTGGCTGGGTGAGTTTAGCACAGACGAAAGGATGAGGGTCTCGAACATAGCACGGAATGGTTGTTGGAGAATCAGCTTCTGTTCGACTGGAGTCACTAAAAGTAAATTAAAATAAAATGTAATTTCCTGCGTTAGTTTAAAAAAAAAAAAAAAACTTACTCAAGGTTTTGAGGGAAGAGAACAGCCGACCAAAACACATGCTCAGGAAAGAACCGGCGCAATCTGCTTTTCGAGCCTTCTTCAGTTTCTAAATATGGAACTCTGAAAGTCACCAGTGGCGAGGATGAAAGAACCGTTTTATCAAGGGCCTCCTTGAATTTTGAATTCTCTGCATGACAGCATTCACTGATGATTGACATTTGTTGCAGATCCTCATCAAAGGAAGTTGCTGCTTTCAGATACTGCTGTAGAGGGTCAGTCGGCCCCTCTGGAGATTCAAGTGCTGCTTGCAAAGGGTCAACAAATGTGTTGTCATGATTTTCTTGCTCCTTTGGCTCCAGTGAACTGTTGGAATAAGCAATAAAAACAAACATTTTCAACAAAATTTTAAAAAAATACCACTCTTTTGAGTCGTCACTTGTTTTTCTCTGCGGCACTGGAGAGCTTTCAGCTGGAGGTGGCATTGCAAACTCGTCCATCAAAAAAGACATCTCCCTCCTCCAGCTGTAGTTGACCAGAATGAGATGCTGCATCACTTTCTTGAGACGCTTCAGCTCAGAGGAAGAGCCTCCCCGCAAAAGGGCCGTGCACCCCAAATGGGTGGCGCACCCTTCGAAAAACATGAGGAACTTCCTTTGGCCTTTTTCTAGATTGAACTGACGCACAGCAAATGTGTGACACATTCCCAGAGAGGACTTGCTCACAGTAGCGTCAATTGACCGCACCATGTCAGCCTGAATGAATTTATAGTTTTATATAGTAGCAATATATTGAAATTTTCATTTACTTGTGTCAGACGAGCCAGTCTTTCCAAAACCACTGTTTTCACATTGAGAACCAGAGTGATGTGGTGTTCTAATAACATTTCTTGTGCAAGTCGGCTCACAGTATTTTCCACGAGGACCACGTCTGGTTCCAAAGACACAATACGAGCCACAACATTTTTCAAATAGTCTCTTTCCTGATAAAAAATTATTTATAAGTAAAAAATATAGTGCTGCAATTAAATTTTACCTGGAGAATCAACGGCTCAAGAGACAGATATTTGCCTTCGACTCTTTCATACGCGATGGAGCAAAATAAGAGCAAAATTTTAGGATTTGTCAGCTGCGTAGACATTCCTCGGTGTGAAACGTGTTTGGTAAAAACAGTTCCACTGATCATGCGGCACTCTGATCTGCTACCACCAGGGACCTTTTTAAACTGGACGTACCTTTAAAATTTTTATAATTTGTTTTAAGAAAAAATCAAATTTTGCTTTCATTACTGTCGTATGTCCATAAAATCAGCTTCGTTTTTCACATCTGGTCTGACAAGGTCAACAATTTGGTGAACAAGGGGTTGCACAGTCAGTGCCCAGTCTTCGCTAAGACCTTCTGAATTCAGCAACTGATGTAGAAGTGCATCTTCGTGGTTTTCAAATGCTTTACTATTTCCACAATTAAAGATTGATTCATAATTCAATTATTAAAAAAAAAAAAAAAAAAAAACAGACCTAAGTAAATGATAAGCTTCTTTCTCCCCATTGTCGGTCCTAAGGTGTTGGACTTTGTGCCAGCCCATTGATGGAACCATTTCTCGGCTCTCGGAGCTCTCGACCATCAGTGTATCTTTTAGGAATTCTTTCGAAATGCAAGTGCTGTTGGCGTCGGCAGTTTCTGGAATTATATTCAATATTATAATCAAACATAAGCAGAAAAAAATTATACGATTACCAAATTTGCGCTCGTCTTTTTTAACCGTTGGTCGTCTCAATTGAACTTTATTCTCAGAAACATCCAGGTCTAAGTAATAAGTGGATGACGAAGACGGAATACTTAGGGTGTCGGAATCAGTGTGGCTTATTGACCTTTCTAAATCTAAATAAAAATTATAGTTTCCCTATTTGTTGGTTTGTCTTTAGTTTTACCGTGGTGTTCAGTCTGTTGCTTTTGAGAATCTGAAGACAGTTGATATAGGGCATTTCCGTCATGAAAGGTGACATCGTTCGGCTGAGAAACGCATTCAATGTAGTTTCCTTCCAAAAGAGCTTGCCCAATATTGACAGCTTCCACCCTGAGATGAGTTTTCTTGATTAATAATGTAGAGAAAAAATTAATATTTTTTACATAGAAGAAGCCTTGTTGTGCGAAAGCAGCCAGTCGACCAATTGGGTCCCTCGAAAGCAGTTCTGACAAGTTTTTTGTTTCAAACGGACGGTCTGCAAGGGAAGGCCACTGTCTGAGCCCTTCAGCTCTGATAGAATGCTGTATAAAAGGTTTGAGTTGTGGAAGGGCTCCTCTCGCAGATCTTCTGAAGTCAGAAATTGACCTGACGTGGACACGCTGGCCCTAGCAACATAAAAATTTTAAGTTTCTTTTGCCTCATAAATTTTTGTTTTGATCATCGATTTTAAATATCGATCAGGAATTACCGTCCAAGTACAAAGCGATCTTCTTGGTAGGAATGTTTGCGCCTCAACCTTTTCTCGGCAGGGGAAAGGCTGCTCTGCGGTACGTTGATTGTTTGGCTGACTGACTCGCCAAACTTGTGCTGCAGGTCCTCTTGGAGAGTACCGAGATCGGCACTGAGGTCGGCACTGATGTCTGCAGACTGCAGGTAGGAAAGCACCACTTTGCCACAGTAGGTGCAAACTCTCAAAGCACCTGACAGTCAAATTGAGAAAAATGTAAAAAGGTACATTTATTAACCTGGTGCTGATTCAGCTTTTTCAAATGAATCCAGCACTATAAAATAATGAAACTTAATCGATTTAAAAAAGCACTCTTTCCTTAATTAAAATAAATGATTGATTTGTTTTGCTTCAAAGAAAATTTTGGAAGAATTTATTAGTTTACTAGGAAAATTTTTTACTCACCAGTGCATCCGAGAATTTTTCCTGGAATTTCTTCTTTGCAGCAGCGTGAGCAGAAGATTTGGCCGCAAACTCTGCAGTGGTGTCTTCGACGAAAGGCGGTGAATTTTTCCCCGCACTCGTAACACTCTTTGCTGACCGAGTCGGGCATCCAATAACGCTTGAAATCGGAATCCTTGTACGATTGGAGACCCTGATTAGGAATATTAAATAGTGAGCAAATAAAAATAGATATCCAATGCAGCACTTACTGTGTTTTTCAAGGCCACCAAATTGCTGATCCTTTTCAAAACATTCGGCAAACTTCGGCCAACGCCGATGTCCTCGTACAGCAGACTGAGACTAGAGCCAGAGCTTAGGGAGGCCTACAAATTTTTTTTTATTAATAAATTTTGATAATTATTTGATTAATGAGAATCATACGCTGGCTGATGACGGACTGGCATTCGCGTCTTTTGCTTCAACTTGAACAGAAGAAGCAGTAGTTGTTGCTTTTTCCTCGAGTTTCGACGGCGTACTTTCGGAAACTGGAGTGACCTCGCGACTTTCGGGCGTTTCTCTCGAGTCTGCATTGCGTTCCTTGCCTGAGAGCACACGTCCTAATTTGAAAAATAACAGCAAATTCCGCCCACTCACCGAATTTGAAGAAGTTGAGGATGAAATTGACACCCGAGTCGTCCTCTTCGGGACTCAGCGGCGGGAATTCGGACAACTTGTCCAAAACGTGCAAATTGCGACTCATCTTTTATTTCGAGTTTTACATCGCGTCAAAATTGTAAAATAAGTGAAATTCGGGATAAATTTGACACTCGAATGAACAACAGCGAAAACTGTTTGTTTTGAAAGCGTTCAGCTGGTCGACGACCCGTGCTGGATTCTGATTGGTCCGCGGGCACGTGGCTCCTCCCCACTACCCGCGTTTGCCGGAAAGCGCGCGATGGACGCAGGACACCGAGCGTATTATCAAAATTTAACAATTTTGCAAAGCCGTTTAAAGTCATGCCATCAGATAGCCTTAACGATAAAAACCACAGATATAAATTTTTAACGAATACTAAAAGGTTTTAATTGCTTGAAAGAAAAGAAAAAATTCAAAAAATTAAGCAAAGCTGAAAGGAAAAGAAATTTCCGGAAATTTAAAACTTACCCCTTCAAAAATACAGTGTTCTATAAACTAGTAATGAATAGAAAAAAAGCAAAAACTGTAAATAAAAGAAAAATATGGAGGAAATATTTGAAATAATACAAACAATTAATATTCATTCACTTTGTGAATAACTGTTGCTTTCTTTACACTAGAACAGAGCTACTCAAGTTAAATTTGTTTCCTGTCCGTAGCCTTTCTGAAACATTTAACTTGTCTTTCCGAAGCCATTCAGAGAGATTTTAAACCTTTCCGAAACCTTTAAGATACCTTTCTAAAGACAGTCAAGAAAACGACCAATTTTCTCTTACTTTGATGAAACCTTTCCCAATCTTTTCTCAAGCCTTTAATATTATATTTTACTTGTTGACAATTTCCCCGTGAATTACGAACCCATTCAGAAGCCATTCCGCAACCATTCAGCTTGTTCGCGTATCTTTGATTTTTTTTCTATTTATCTCGCGACCCTGTCCCAAGCCTTTCTGTAGCTTTTCATAGTGCAGCGTGCGTTTGAGCATAATGCAATGACGTCATCAACTGCATGGGCCCGCGCCACTGTCCTAACAAAGCCTCGCACGGGTTGCAATAATAATAGGGAAGATTCTTTTTTTTTTTAGAATTATTCCACCTCTCTCTGCTTGCTGCTTGGGCCGCGGTCAAGAATGATTTTACGAGCCCTATGTCGAAAATGCAACGTCGCTCCTCAGCTCTGCTTACGAAAATCTTAAAGTGCACGGCGGGAGGAGAGCAGTTTGAAGTAAAATATAAAATATTTATTATTAAAATTAACTTCATGTGATCATTGAAGCAATGCAAGTTTGAATTAAGCTAAAATACAATGCCATTTTGCGCGTGTATGCAAATAGTAATTAGATTGCGTTGAAACATTTTGCTTATAGTAAGTCGTTTTAAAAAAATAATTATTAATTTAATTGTTATTCTATATTTATCAGTTCTAGTAACAATAATGAATTTTTATAATCTTGGAAAAAATCTAACCATTGATTTTTCGGGATGGATTTATAAAATTCCTTTAATTCGTACCTGATAAAGAAATAATTAATTAATTCATTTTTCAATTTTGAGAAAAAATTAAATTGAGGCATTTGCCTTAAAGATGGCTTCAAGTGTCATATAACCTTTCTTTTTTGAATTAAGAAAATATATTCGATTTTTTAAAAATCACCTAAATCGGACTGATAGAACCAGAGATACACATTTTCATTCACCGAAAAATAAAATCTCTTTTAGCGCCGACACACACTTGCAGCAAGTGGACCTCCGCTTTCAAGCGTTCCTTACTTTGGCGGCGAAACTTCAGTTTTTGCTAATTATCTCGAGAACGGTTTAATATAATTTGATCGAATTTTCACAAAAGATGCGGCTTTGATCCCTCCATATAAATATTATAAATATAAATTTTTAGAATTTTAGCAATATGCATAATTTTTCAATTTTGCACTTTAATTACAAAAATGTATTCAAGAAAAAGGTCTCAACTACGTAATTATTTTTCTGTATCTTTATTGAACATTTCTTATAAAAGTTATATGCATTGCAAGTACCCTGCTCTAACGGGTTAATTTAAAAATATTTAGGAATGGCAAAAAACGTGTCTATCACACAAAACTAATGGTTGCTAATACTTTGCACGTAATTAACAGAAAAATATGGTTCTACCTCTCATCAGTCCAAAATTATAAGATGCAATGCAAGCAAAAGTTTTTATTCCAATAGGTGCTAAGGGTTGACCCCTGCACTAGTGACCTTAAACCCTTAAATTAATTAATTTTTATTTTAACTACCACCAAAAGATGCAGATTTTTATTCTCATTTTAATTATGATATTTTAAAATTTATCAGAGTTCCCAGATTTGCATAATTAATTAAAGAAAATTTGGGTTGTAAGAAAAGGGAGGCTAGACAGCACCGTGAAAAACTTGTGTTTTGGGCTGCAGCGAGCGTCTCTTATTTCTATATATTTTGGACGACCCGATCCGCTGTGCCTATTGTTAAGTGTTTTGCTGCATACTTCCTTATGCAGTTCAGGTGGTTCAGGTAATGCACGGCACACACAATAGTCCCCAGGTTGCCACATTTCATCCCCTTTGCGAGAATGCGAGTTTCTCTTCAGTCGCGCTCGGCGGTTGGCCGGTATGGTTTGTTAAAAAAGAGATGCTGCCGAAAAAATCTTCAAAATTTGCTATTCGCCCGCTTTATGCACAGCTGAAGAAAACGCCGATTGCCTGTTAAATATTAAGGTGAGTTTTCTTTTGTAATTTAAAGTTTGAATGGAGAAAATCAGAACAAAATAATTAAAAAAAATGCAATTAAAAAAAGATCACTGCGGGTAATACAACGCGTTTAATTTGTTTTCAGATGAGCAGCAGCCTCCTAAGTACGGCGCCCAGGTACCAACCCTTATAGGCTCTAGCTTCAAAAGTGCGTGGAACAAATATCTAGCAGGTATGTGATTAAAAAACGATTTTTATTTGACTCAAATTAATGTTTCCGTCTCTTTTATGATTTCAGTTGCTGCAAGTGCAAAGGATGCGCCCGCTCGGCATAGAAACAGACGCGCGACAATTCGGTTCTCTCTTGGGAGAAATGATTTTACGGCAAGATGACGAGTGAGTTCCATTTGAAATTATTGTGATTTTTTTCTATTTTTTGTCAATAAATAGTCACCAAAAACGAATTTCTAAATGTTTCATTCCCCGTGACGTCATGAAATAAATGACGTCACTGTTCACCTGAAAGGCTTCGGAAAGCGCTCTGAAAGGTGTCGCTACAAAAGAATAAAGCGTCGCTATGAAAGCTTACGGAAGGGCTTGGTACAGCGATCGGAAAGGTTTCGTAAAGGCTTCCCTCAAAACCTTTCCGAAGCCATTAATTTTTCAAAATAATGGCATCTGAAAGGTTTGCGAATGGCTTCAGCTTCCATTTCAGCTACATGAAGTGATAAAGGTTTCTTAAAAGCTATTGAAAGGTTTCGGAAAGGCTATTTAATGGCACACGATTTTTACTTGAGTATTATATTAAAAATAAGATATTGTAGATTTTTAAATGTCTATATTTGTAAATTTTTTGGAAGCCATTCCCTTTGGAATAAATTTAATGATTTTTATTTATTTTTATGATTCAAATTTTCTGTTTTAATGATTGATTTCGAATAGGGAGACACTTTTTTCAGGTAGAAAAGGGACAGTTTTGAAGTTTTTTGGGTCCGAAATGCGAAATTATGTTAAAGATCCATAATATAAGCATAATATGCTTTGCCGCGCACCATTTCCTGCTGCCACCATGCGGGCGGCTCTCCCATCGGTTCATGATTGTATTTTTAGGTAACAAAGAAAAATATATTTTTAGAAAAATCTTGACGACTTGGTCCTATCTCGGCCCTATTTCTCTTTGGGATTTTGAGTATTTTTATTATTTTTATTTTTTTGTTTCTTTTTATTTTTGGTCAGCCATTGAATTCCACACGCACGGCTGGAACTTTCCATATCCGCTGCTCTTCCCTTTCAGCGGGATTTTGCGAGCTACTATAACAACTGGTCAGATTTTCTCCAAACGTGACTTTTAGTTGGTTTTGCTGGGATCACTTAATTAACATGTTTGTATCGAATGAAATATTTTCACATAAGAAATCAATACCAATTTTGACTAACACAAATTAATAAACATGGTGAATATACAAATTAATTTTAATTATAATTATGCCCACAAAATTCGCATCAAATTATAATTTTTACAAATTTTTAATGTTTCATTTTTTGATCACAAACAGAGCTCGCGTGTGCAAATGATTTGGAAATTTTAGTCGTAAAGTCGTAAATTTCGCTGCCTACAATCTTGCTCCTCTATTTGCTAAAGGATTTTATGTTCATTGCCGGCAGGTTGGAGATATCTTTTCTCTTTGGAGATCATTTTCACTTGATAGTCTCCCATAGAGGGCTGCTGCGCTTGTTGCTAGGTGTCCATTCAGACCTTGACTTTGCTCAATTTTCTCATCAGTGCATCCAGCTGAGCCCAACGACACGATGAGTATATTAATCTTCTTAAGTTTTTACAGGACCCAACGGCAATTTGTGTATTTAAATATTTGCAGACGAAAAAATATTTGCATCTTAAGTCATTCATATAAATATATTCAATCAAGAAATACATATTATTTAATTAAAGTTATATAAAATTCTTTATAAAATTCCTCACGGATTTGTTATTCGTCCTAATTAACCCTTTTTTGCCTATTTTTATAGACTGATTTACAAAAGAATAAAAAAATTAGTCCTTCCTTTACTTTATGAAAGATTACATTTTTCTATTAAATACTGAATTTATTTCAAGTTGGATATATTTTCAGGATTAAAACTTTGAAGAGTAGGACACTTAATTAAACCTGAAAAAATTAAAAAGATTGTGAAAATGGCGTACGACGAATTACTGGAGCACCTCGGCGAATTTGGCCGCTACCAGAAGCGAATATATTTCCTACTTTGTTTGCCGGCAATTACCTGCGCCTTCCACAGATTGGTCACGATATTTCTTTTGTCAAAAGCGCCTCACAGGTACCAGTATTAATATTAATTTTTTATTTTGGAAATGAAGATTCGGGCTTTTCCTCGTTGCAAAAAATTGTTTTTTATTCAAAAACAAACGGCTCTACCAGTTTCGGTCACGGTCTGCGACCCTATTTCATGAGCAAACGCGCTGCTCGCTGACTGGCGGCTGGACGCCAACTTCACCGACGAGTACTTCAAAAGTGGCGTTCCTTCCACCGAAACTGTCCAGTGCAAAAACTGGGTTTTTGACTACTCTAAGTACTCATCAAGCGCCGTTTTTGAGGTGATTTCCTTTTATTAGTCAGCGAGCAGCGCGTTTGCTCATGAAATAGGGTCGCAGACCGTGACCGAAACTGGTAGAGCCGTTTGTTTTTGAATAAAAAACAATTTTTTGCAACGAGGAAAAGCCCGAATCTTCATTTCCATGATCATCTCCTCGAGTGTCAACTTCTTCAAACAAATTTTTTATTTATTGATTTTGAAAACACGTAATTTTTCAAAAAGATGTTTGATGCCATTTGAGAGCTTGGAAAACGCGACCTTTTTATTTCCACCGGACAGACCCATCAACTTGAGCCTACCGTGGGATTCAAGCTCAGAAACGTGGTCGCAATGCCGGCGGCTGGACGCCAACTTCACCGACGAGTACTTCAAAAGTGGCGTTCCTTCCACCGAAACTGTCCAGTGCAAAAACTGGGTTTTTGACTACTCTAAGTACTCATCAAGCGCCGTTTTTGAGGTGATTTCCTTTTATTAATATTATCAATTTTACTAATAATTATTAAGTCATAAAAATTAAACAATTTAGAGTGGGGTCTTTCAACAAGCTTGCAAATCAAAAATTTCCAGCGATATTTAAGCGTAGAAAAATATCTGCTTTCCTCTGTCATAATAGCAAGGTTCACTCATTATAAATAATAGCAATTGGAGCAAATTTTTGCATTGTTGTTGCCAGGCGTTATATCTGACGAGAAAATTTCACTTGTATCCAAAATCAGCGAGGTCAAACTGATTCATTGTTGTGATATTTGCGCGAACCTTGCTTGCCAGACAAAACAAATTATTGGAAAATTATTGATAAAAACGATGAAGTGTTTTATGACGCACACACGCTGAAATTTCATTTGATAACATGATCTCAAGATTCGAAATATCAGTAAACACCCATAAAATGATCAGCATGAAAACAAAAGACCGAATAAAAATCTAAGTGTGCTCAAGTGGCTCTCGAGTTTAAGCTATACTTAAGCTGAGTGGACATAATAAATTGCACTTTATGTCTATTTTTTTTATTCTCCACTATCTGAAGCTATTATTCCTATCCTAAATTTATCTTAAATTTAAAATGTTATATTAAATAAATTTTCTTCACATTTCAGAAATAAATTTTAATTTTCAATACTATTTTAATCTTTTTAATTATTCGCAGTGGGATCTGGTTTGTGACAAATCATGGATGCGGTCAATGGCCGACACAGTTTTCATGCTAGGAATCTTGATTGGAGCCATCCTTTTTGGTCATTTATCAGACAAGTAATATCATGATCAATTAAATGAAATATTATTTATAAATAAATTATAGGTACGGTCGGAAACCGATTTTCTTCTTCTCGCTGGTCCTTCAGGTCGTTGGAGGAGTGACAGCAGGATTCGCCCCTGAATACTACACTTTCATTTTTGCGCGACTTTGCATAGGAATTTCTACCTCCGGAGTTTATCTTGTAGCTTACATTATAGGTATATAATTTTTGCCATTACTTTAATATATGTTTTAAATTGTATTTTAATTAAATAAAAAGGCATGGAAATGGTGAGTCCGTCTAAAAGGATTTACGCTGGGGTCATAATGAACTATTTTTTCACCGCTGGCTACATTTTAACCGCATTCGCCGCCTATTTCATCAAAGACTGGAGAACCTTGCAAATCACTCTCTCCCTTCCTGGCCTTGCATTTTTCCTCTACTGGTGGTAAAATAATTTTAATATTCATTATTAAAGTGTAAATTAAAAAAGGAAAAAAATCTAAATAGGTATGTTCCCGAGTCAGCACGATGGCTCGTGGCTAAAGGACGAAATGCGGAAGCAAAGCAAATTTTGAAGAAGGCGGCCATAGTGAACAAAATCGAGCTCTCCGATGGGTTGCTGCAGAAATTTTTAACTTCTTCTGACGATGAACCAGAAAAAGATGGAAATAACAAGAATCCTGCAGCAAAATCAGCTTCCTTGCTGGATATTGTAAAATATCCTAATTTAAGAAAAAAATCTCTAATAATATTTTTTCTTTGGTATAAAAATGTGCAAGCAACGATAAAATAACTGATGCAAATATTTTTATTTTAGGTTTGTAAATAATCTGTCCTATTATGGTCTATCGTGGAATGTTTCCAATTTGGGTGGAAACGATTATCTCAACTTCCTGATTTCGGGTCTAGTCGAAATTCCCGCCTACACCTTCATTCTGTTCGCCCTGAACCGATATGGCCGAAAAATGACCCTTTGCGGTTCCATGCTGGCAGGAAGCGTTGCTCTTTTATCTTGCATTTTCGTTCCTAATGGTATAATATATTTATCTTCTAATGTATAAAATGGGAATGGGTAAATAGGTGATTGTGGAAAATTAACTAAAAAAATTCACCAAGGAACTGCTAAGGAAGCCCAGATTTACCGTTTTCATAATTCAAAATTGAGGTTCTAGAATCTTTTAAATTATATAAAATATTTTATTTATTATTTTACAACTTTTTATCCTAAAATTACTGAAAACTGAATTTCTCCTAAAATCTGATCAAATAATGTTCCATATTTAAAATATTCCATCAAAAACATCATAAAACACTATAAATTTTGTAGTGAAAAATACCACACTATATATTTAAAAATATTATTTTCCCTCCGTAAATGAGATACAGATAAATTTTGATTTTGCTAGACATGAGCTGGCTTTTAATCACTTTTGCCATGACTGGGAAAATGGCAATCACCGCGTCCTATGGCGTTGTCTACATTTTTTCGGCTGAGCAATTCCCGACCGTCGTCCGAAATGCGGCCATGGGCATAAGTTCGACTGCAGCTCGCGTCGGTGGAATCATTGCCGCTTTCATTCACCAACTGGTACGTTTGCATAAATCGAGTGACTGGAAAAATGTAGTAAAATAAATTTTCAGGCAGACACGTGGAAGCCGCTTCCGTTGATTGTGATCGGCGCCTTAGCCCTTTCGGCAGGGCTGCTTTCTCTGCTGCTGCCAGAAACGTTGAACAGAAAGTTACCAGAGACGATTGAGGACGGTGAAAATTTTGGAAGGTTTTGTTAATTTTAATTTTTTAGAATCTTATTTGTGAATTTTCTTTTATTTAGGAGGAAGGCCAGGAGGAGGAGTTCGATGTCGGGAGAAAATTAAAAAAAAAAGAGAATAATACAAGACGAGGGCGCATTTTATAATCAAAAATTTAAATAAATACATCAATAAATAAAACAATTATTTTTGAAAGTATAAAAAAAAAAATTAAAAAAAAATTGTACTAGAACAGAACTTAATCGATTTTAATAAGCAAATAATGTTTGTATAATTTGCGGCAAGTTTTGAAACAATTAAAAAATGAGATACAATTTTCTAAAACAAGAGATTGCAGGTTTAAACAAATTTACAAGAGTCAAATCCAGTTTCACAAGAGAAAAAACATTAAATTTTAGACAATTTCAATTGATACAAAACATTGGTCTTTGGTCTTATTTAAATCATTAGGGGCCATAAAAAAATTTAAGTTCTAGTGGCAAAGTGTCTTTATTGATAATATAAGAAGGCAACTGCCCATTTACCCACATACATCATGATTAAGTAAAAAATAAAAAAATTTCAAACAAGAGAGGATAATAGTCTTATAAAAAATCAATCACTTTACATTGAGATTAATAAATTAATTGGTCATTGTAGCTTTTTTGAAAGACAAGATAATTATTCTGCAGGGAATATTAATCAATTACGTGACCATTTTAATGTGCTCATGAAGCGTCAGAAGCGTGACGTTTACCCTCAATTAAAAGCACTCTTCTTTTGATTCAAGGGCTATTACAATTTTTAAGATAAATGAGTTTGTTTGTTCTTTTATTCATACAATAATCATCCAATCAATATATATGCACAATATTTAATATTATTGTAAGAAACTCCAAAATGAATTAATGATAAATAATGAGATAATTTTTTTTTATAAGTTTTGCAAATTTAAATTCTCGCAAGTCTCCTATCAGAACAAACAAATAAAAACTCTTAAAGGTGAAATTAATAAACGGTAATAAGCTCAATTTTAAGTTTGCTGAATTCTTCCTGATTAACTTTTTTTTAATTGCATACATATTTATATTTGATGCAATCAAGGACAGAGGCAGAATATGGCAAATTACTGTACAACCTCATCGAATGATCTTTCATCTGCATAAAATAATTCAGTTGAAATAAGTTATGATATGATAACTATAAACTACAGTGTCTACAGTGATTCACAAATTTTTCATAGTTTTTTCAATGACTGAAAAAAAGTGAAATTTTTAAGGAAAAATTAAAAATGAGGCTACAAAACCTCGTTGCACAATTTGAAAATTGATTGGAATGTGATATAATATCAGTAACCGCAGGTGAAGTGTTCATGCAAAACAGCACACTTCAGAAATTCACAAATTATGTTCATCTTCATATTATCTCATGATGTCCAATTAAGGTATCGAAGTCCGAAATTCAGTCAAAACACAAAGAGTGCGAAACGGTATAAATACTGCTCCAGCGTAACTGAAAAGCATTACATTTCATTTGCCCGACCTCATCACTGAGCAGTCCTTAAGTTGCAGAAAGGTATTGTATACATGATATTTTTTTATTCATCACCAGATTTTAAGTTTATGCCTTTTGAAGTAAATTCATCGTCTAAAGATTTAAGATTTATTCTCAAATAATTCATTAAATTGGGAAAATTGATAGTATTGAAAAGACATTTGATGCATCAATAAATGTTGCAGAGGAGGCTAGAAAACGTTAGAAAATTTAATTTTTTGAATCTTTTCCGTCTTGGGAATTGAAAGCTAAGCAGAAAATATTAACTTGATTATATATCAGCCCAAATCCAATAGTTAAGTCTCGCAAGGTTGAAACTTTAGAAATTTTAGCACCACATATCAAGAAGAAAAGAAATTTAAGAAATCATTTTCATGCTGAAAATAATAGTTCCCAATATAAGTTAAACTTTTTAAGCGTTTTTAAACAAAATTCATTTCTTTGTTGAGTTCCTTATTCCAAAGTTTGAAAATTCATTTCTCCAAAGGTCTTTTTCAATTAATATTTTTGGTATTTTTTTTTCTTTCCACCGCAGTATGAAGACGATTGCACTTAACCTCGCCCTTGCCGGCTGCCTCCTGGCCGTTTGCCAAGGGGTCATTGTGCCTGGCCCGTGTCCCACTGTGACCTTGCAGCAAGACTTTGTCTTGGACCAAGTAAAGTTTTTAATCATTTTCAACTTGAATTTCTTGCTAATTCATTTCATATTTCATTCAATAGTACCTCGGAACATGGTATCAGGCTCAAGCGTTCCCAAACCCTGCTGAAATCGGAAAGTGCGACTCTTCTGTGTACACCGACAATGGAGACGGAACCTTCTCAATAGTCCAAACTTCAGTTGATCCCAAGTAATATTTTAATTAATTAATTTTTAAAGTTTATCAAAAAATTGTATAGCACTGCTGAAACTACAACGGTTGTCGGAACTGGAATTCAGAACAGCGCCACTAACGAAGGACAACTCCAGGTCACCTACCCGGACATTTCAGCTAGTTCGACCAAACCTTTACTTTTTAATTCAAATTAATACTCTTGCAATCAATATAGATCCTTTGGATCTGCTGATTTTGGGCACTGATTACGAGGGATTTGCTGTGACTTTCCGCTGCGGGGAACAGGGAGGCCAATCTGCCCGTATGTTGAATAGCATGGTTTAATTAATTTCCAATTTCTAAATGGAAAATTTAAAACAGAGGATGCTTGGATCCTCACTCGCGATAGAGAGCCCTCTGCCGCCGTTGTGGAAGCAGCGCTTGCCGTGGCTGCCAGCAATGGACTTGACACATCGCTCTTTGTTGTCACCGACCAGACCAACTGCCCTGCTTAACTTCAAAAAGTTTCAAACTTTGTTAACTTTTCTGGGCGACAGACTATGCAAATAAAATTTGAAAAAAAAAAAAAATATAGATATTTTCATTTTTGTTGATCATAAAATTAAACATGGCCAGATGAGCAGTTTTCTATTCATTAGCATTTGTTTGAAGTCGTTATAAGAAAAATTGAATTATTTTAAGAACCGATTTTTTTAATGAAATATAATTATAGGAATTTTCTGAAAATATTTTGCTTGAAAGAACTGTAACAAAAATACATATTTTGAACATTTTCAGCAGCAAACGCTGTTGGGGGCATTTCATGTCTCACTTGATATTTCTAAAAAAAAATTTTAACAAAAAACCTTTTCCATCTTCAGGCTTGTGGTCTCACTGCTTTTCATCACCAATACACAATCCCACTGCTTAAATCAATAACATTATTTGCGATGGAATTTTTCATGAATGATATCAAACGCAAATCTTTATATGAAAATCAACAAGCTGATTATTATTTTACAAAATTAAAAACTGTGGATGGTATCAATCAGAGTCTTGACACTCTCCGGATCCATGTCGGGATAAATTCCATGCCCCAAATTTGCAATATACCGCCTCTTCCCAAACTTCCCCACCATTTCTTTTACAGCCTCTTCGAGCTTACCCTTAAAATAATAAAATTGATCACCTCTTGAATATTTACTAAAATGAAACTGGTACTCACTTTGGGAGCATAGAGAGCGCAGGGATCCAAATTGCCTTGAAGAGTTATGTTTGGGCCGACCCTTTTCCTAGCAAGCTCAGGATCCATAGTCCAGTCTAGACTGATGACGTCGTAGCCACATTTCGAAAGCTCTTCAAGAGCGTAATGAGCTCCCTTGGCAAAAACAGTCTGAAAATTTAATGAAAGTCCATCAAAAAGATTTTATCGTGTAAAAATAATTTTACCATTGGCACTTGTTCCAAATTTAATTGGGTCACTTTCTCCCTGACCCTTTTGTTGATTGCTGCAATTGCAGGCAGCGCAAACTGATTGAACAGCTCAGGTCCCAAATATTCAGCATTCGACTCAAACAACTGCAAAAGCTAGAGATGGAAACAAAATTAGGTTAAAAATAAAATAAAACTTTGAGCTTAATTACTTGAGCTCCAGCTTGAACTTGTCCTACAAGATAGTCCACTATGACGTCAGTCAACAAGTCTAAAAGCTCTTTACTAGCCTCTGGGTGTCGGTACAACCATGCTTTGGCCTTCGACATGGTCTTCGTCCCCCCTCCTTCAATCATGTACCCCATCAGAGTCCACTGTGAAAGACAAATATATGAAAAATCTATAGAATAAATAAACTTTAACACAAACTGGAGCACCGGAGAATCCAATGAGAGGCACTTTTCCTTCCAATTTGTGCCTGGTCAGTGTGATTGCCTCGAAGACGTATCCAAGTTTCTCGTTCACATTGACAGGGTGCTCCAATTTTTTTAAGTCTGATGGAGTTACAAGAGGATCAGGCAAAACTGGGCCCTGTGAATATAATCAGGCTTTTAAGAAAAATCATTGTTGATTATGTAACAAGACATACAACTCCAGGTCTCATTTCGACGACCATGCCAAGGGCCTGTGGAATGACAAGGATGTCTGAGAAGATAATCGAAGCATCCAAATCGTATCTTCTTATAGGCTGGAGGGTTATTTCGGCAGCCAACTCAGGGGTTTGGCAGATGGTGAAAAAGTCGTGCTTTGATCGGAATTCTCGAAATTCTGCAAAATTTATTTTAATTTATGATTGTCCAAGTTAAAATTTTCAATGATTGGAACCTGGGAGATATCTTCCTGCCTGTCGCATAACCCAAACTGGAATTTTATCCACCTCCTCTCCACGAGCGGCTCGCAAAAGTCTGTCGTTCTTCAGTACAGGGAATGCCTGCCAATTTTTAATTCAATTTTTCCGCCAAGTTATGAATGAATATCTTACCATTTTGGCTTCCTTTGTTCGGAATAACCGTCTTAAATGCAAAATTGAATCGAATACGGAAGAGTGCTAGCGCGTTACATTAAATTTTTGTCAAAATCTGGGTGGAATTTTGATTCGAGTCGGCTATGTTGACATGCTGGACGAAGAACTTTAGAAGTGTAAAGAAAGGATAAGATTGTTAAATTTTTGTAACCAGCTTTTTCCTGATTTTTCCTTTGCAACTCAAAATATTTTATTTTATTAGTATATTAAAATGTACAAAAGCAACTCAATTATTGACGAGAAATTAAAGAAAAATGCAGTAAAATATGAATTTTTTTTAAACCATATTAGTCTTCTTTGTTTACACTCCTGTTGCGGTACCAACCGTACCAACAGCTGGAAAGGAAAAAGGGGGTGGGGGTGGAACTGAGAAGATCGGATCGGAAGCGATCTCAACTCTCAACAACGCAGGCTCTTTCTGGAGCATTTTATTTTGTAAGTTTCATTTTAAAATTACCATTAAATAGATAATTTAAGCAATTTATATTCATTTATAAAGCGTGTCAAAAAATTAGCCAAATTTATTTTCTTTTCTTTGTTGAGAACGGTGATGAATAAGTTCACTCAAGGCAATTTTGTGATATTCAATTCAAACAGGTCTTGGAGGTCTCGTCTTGACTGACACTATAAATATAAAGTTCGCTAACACAAAGAAACTAATTAATTCGAATTAAGAAATAAATAACTTCCGATAGGATAAATTCAACAGCATTGAACTTCAACTTTTTAATAAACAACAGTTTTTGAGTTGTACAAAAATGCTTCTTGCTCCTTTTTGTCCTTGAATAATTTTATTGATTTTTGCTTGGGCTTGACCTATTTTTATTTAGGTCAACTGGTTCTTATATGTCTCTGGATTTCGTTGTTTTGCTTCCAGATGCAATGTCACCTTGATCTCGAATTACTTAAGGCGGCGCGATAAGATCTCCCCCATCAAGAAAAGTGTGCGGTGCGATTCTGAACAAACAGAGCACGGCATGAACTTGTATTATTTATGGTTAAGCCATTCACGCTCAATCTACCAACCACACTTCATCTGAGGAAACGTGCGTTCTTCTGGTTTATTTGTATTTAAAGATTTGAGAATTTTTACTTTTGCAGATGAGTTCTGTGGAGCAAACAAATCGAACAGGTCAAGAAGAGGCTGAGGATGACGCGGAGGCGTCCGTCGGCCGTCTGATTCGAAGCCAGGAAAGCTTTGACAAACTCAACCAGTATGAAATTCCTCAGGAATCACGTAATTCTTGCCAAAGTTTTAGCATGTATAGAGAATAATATTTTTTATCTTGCAGCAATTATCCAAAGAGCAATCGAACATATTTCGCCAAGTAAATGCACAGGATGTTTTTTCTCGGTATTCCCATTTTTCGATTGGATCCAGGACTACAAGTTAAAGAAGTTCTTGATTGATGATGCTGTGTCTGGTATCACAGTTGGAGTTATGCACATTCCCCAAGGTTTAAAATATTTATTAAAATGGAAAAAATACTTATTTTTTAAACAGGTCTCGCTTATTCGATGCTGGCTGGAGTTCCTCCGATCACAGGCCTCTACATGGCTTTCTTTCCTGTTCTAATTTACATCTTCATGGGCACATCTAGACACGTTTCCATGGGTATTATGCAAAAAAATATAATTATTTGTTGCTTAATTTTATTAAATATTTATAGGCACCTTTTCTGTCGTCTGCTTAATGACAAAAGCAATCGTGGCCGCCCATGCAAAACCAGACACAGTGGACAATAATTTTGACAAGCCACCAGACCTTTCTTTTTCTGATGCTTTTGTGAAGCCAGATAATGCAGAACTGACCAGCGTCCAAGTGGCTATGGTGGTTTGTTTTGCTGTCGGTCTTTGGCAGGTAAAAAATTAATCTTAAAAAAAAATTAATTTTATAACTGATGATGAAAATTATTTAGGTGCTGATGGGCCTGTTTCGCTTAGGAAATATCAGTGTTCTTTTGTCAGACACTCTGGTCAGTGGATTTTCCACAGCTGCGGCTGTTCATGTTTTGGCCTCGCAGCTAGGAAGCCTCTTAGGTGTCAAAGTTGGGAAATATAACTCTAACTTCAAAGTCATCCTGGTAATTATTGAACTAATTTTAGAATGCATTTCATTTAATTTGACATTTATCTGCCAGGTACTTAGAGACGTAGTCATGAATATTCCTTCGTTGAACTATGTCAGTCTATCATTGTCGTTGTCTGTGATGGCTGTGCTGATAATATACACCGAAATAATCAAGGCATGTTTTGCATTTTATATTTTTCAAGTTCACCAGTCTTAACATATTTTTTTTTTGTGATATAGCATAGACTAGAGAAGCGCTGTCATTTTCCAGTTCCTGTTGAAATGCTGTGCATTATCATTGGCACCCTGCTCTCTGCTGGTTTGGAGTTGAATTCAAAATACAATGTAAAATGCGTGGGGAACATTCCAAGAGGGTAATAAGCTTATGATTTCAGAAGGTTCCTTTTTAATGTTTTTTAATTTTATTTTTGCAGAATACCGTCACCATCGTTGCCAGCTTTCTGGTTGTTGCCGGATATTATTTTCCACTCTTTGCCCATCGCTGTGATTGGATTTACAATAACACTGTCGATGGCATCTATTCTGGCCAAGAAGGGACATTACAAAGTCAAAGCAAATCAAGAATTTATTGCTTGTGTATGTTATATTCCTGGGAAATATCAACCATATAACTTGAATTGAATGCAGGGTTGCGGAAATCTCTTTGCTTCGTTCTTCTCATGTGTTCCGTTTGCTGCCTCTTTGTCGAGAAGCTTGATTCAGCAAAACGTAGGAGGAAAAACACAAATCGCGAGCGTATTTTCATGCATCTTCATTCTGCTAATTTTGTTGGCTATTGGACCATTTTTCGAACAATTACCTAATGTGAGTTTAAAATAATTTGAAATTTTGATATTAATCTAATCAATATAAAGTGTGTTTTGGCTGCCATTGTGATTGTGTCTTTAAAAGGCATGTTCTGGCAAGTAAAGGATTTTCCTGGAATTCTTCGGAGGTCAAAATTGGATGCATTCGTCTGGCTTGGAACGCTCCTTGTGTCTATTTTCTGGGACATCGACTACGGACTGGGAGCTGGTCTCTTTTTATCTGTGCTTTGCGTACTTCTGTATGGACAACAGTTAAAAATCAGCATTCTAGGAAAAGTCCCAAACAATGAAATATACCTGGACACAAAGCATTATTTGGTGGTAAGACGAGTTTTTAAAGCCCTTCAATCAAAGCCTGACAGGAAATAATTTATTTTTAGGCACAAGAGCTACCAGGAATAAAAATAATCCATATATCAGGCAGTTTGCATTTTGCAAATAAGAATCAACTGGAAAAGAGTTGCGCAAAAAAACTTGATTTACATTCTCATCATCCGCCAACTGTGACAATAAGTAAAGATGGGGAAAACAACCCTTTAAATTCACAAAATGAGGTAATAATTTCGAAACTACTTTGAAGTTGGACTTTAATTTTATTTTGATTTCAGAGTAAAATACAAAGCGTTATTTTGGACATGTCAAGTGTTAGTTTTGTTGATCCGTCTGCTGCCGATTCAATGTCAAATCTTAGAGAAGATATTTTGCACAAACTGGAAGGACATCTCTATTTAGCCAACTGCTCTCGTAAGTTAATTTTTTTTTGTAAATAAAATAATTCCTGTTTTTATTCTACAGCAAATGTCCTGGAAGCTCTGAAGAAATTCAATTTTTTCTCAGGCGATTTTCCTATATACCACTATGTGTTCCCTAGCATACATGATGCTGTCCTGCATGCTCAGCAGTCATCTCTCTCAACAGGATTATGAAGTGCATTTCATCGAATATCGATAATTAAGGGTTCAGGATTAATAGCTGCTGTTTCATAGCTGTGATTACTTCATAAATTTATATGTATTGATCAAAATAATTTATTTTTGAAACAGAATGTTCTCTGCTGGAATGTGTTTGTTGCGTTAAAAAAGAAGAAAATGCTATTTTTGTTGAGGCAATATATTGTTGAGTAAGCAAAATGATAAATCAAACTTTTAATTTTACAATCCTTGTTCAGCCAAGAGAATTGGCGATTACCACTCTTGAGCTCTTCGTCCACGCCTGCGCTTCTTTGCAAAAAAATAAGTCTAATCTTAATACGGGCTAGAGTCAGCTGTGAGCACACAAACAAGTCAGTTAGTGTGACAATACCTTTCACCTTGATCTCGAATGAAATGATTCTGTGAGATCTCTTGCAGCGGCTAAACCTTAAAACACAAGATAAACAAACCGGCGCCTGATCGATATGGTCTCAGTCTGCTTCTTTCTTGTACCCTTTTAGCTGATTAACGCTAAACAAGGATATACCGTGACGCTTACGCTTTTAAACTTTACAGTCAGGACGTGCTGCTTATTTATAGCGGTATGTAAAATTATAAAAATAAATCATTCACACAGCTCTAACTCAAATTTCGGCAAGACGATTACAAATATTTATGGTTGTCGATTGAAACGCCAACTATGCAGACACTAGAAAATTTCCAAACAGTGTATAAATACAAACCGGAGAGAGAAATACGTAAGTACAATGTAAACTAAATTAATTGATCCAAATATTTTTCCATCTTTTTTATAGATTTTTTTTTTTAGAAATTACAAATAAAAATTGCTTGAAATAATTTTATTATTATTCAATTTCAGCTTTCCGGGAAAGAGCAAAAAATAAAATTACCACAGTAAAATGTTCTCAAATTTTCCTGTCCACCTTTCCCTTTTTTGAATGGATAAAAAATTACAAATTCAAGGAATATTTTGTAAATGATGTTGTGGCTGGTTGCACTATTGGAATAATGCATATTTCTCAAGGTAAGTAAGCAAGATAATTTAAAAAAAAAAATAATAATAATAACCATGCTGCTCCTGGAAATAAAGTATGCCACCCGCATGACGTAAGAGGTATGCGGGTTGCATATCTGCTGTTCATGCAGGGGCTTGTATGGAAAGGAAACGTCTCTGTGAAGTCAAAAATTTATGTGTGTCATAAACTTATGTCATAAGTTAATTAATATAGTGAAAAATTATAACTGAACAAATTATATTTTAAATAAATGTCGGTTTAGGTTTAGCTGCTTCAATTCTTGCCGGAGTTCCGCCTATTGTAGGTCTTTACATGGCTTCTTTTTCTGCAATATTCTATACCCTGATGAGCACGTCCAGACACATATCAATGGGTATTTAAAATAAATTAAAACGAACTATAACATTTTATTTTTTATTAACTCATTCATAAATTTATCTCATTCTTTTTATAGGAACTATTGCTATTGTTTGCATCATGATGAAACCAATAGTGTTAACTCACGCCAAACCAGAAACTATTGACAATAATTTTGAAACACCACCAGGCCTATCATGGTCCGAGGCATTTCAAAAGCCTGAAAATTATGAGCTGACCAGTGTCCAGGTAGTCGTGGTAGTCTGCTTTGCAGTTGGAATTTGGCAGGCAGGAAAAAATAAGTTTTTTTTTTTCAAATAAAAGCTTTTTTTCTTTTTCAGATCCTGATGGGAGTTTTTCGTTTGGGAATAATTAGCGTGATTTTGTCTGACACTTTGGTCAGTGGATTTTCAACGGCGGGCGCCACTCACATCATGTTCTCCCAGCTAGGAAGTCTTTTTGGAGTCAATGTTGGAAAACATAGCTCCAACTTCAAAATAATTCTCGTGAGTTTAATCAAAAAATTTAAAAAATACTAATCTTTTCCAAAGATTTCCAGAGACATTATTACTAACATCCGAACCATGAATCTTGTAAGCTTTGGTATTTCTATGAGTGTGATGGCAGTGCTAATAATTTTCACTGAGAAAATAAAGGTTAAATAAAAAATATACTAAATTTTTAATGCAATAATTTTGATTTATTTAAATATTACAGCCACGCTTGGACAAAAGATTTCACTTCCCCTTTCCAATTGAGATGGTTTGCGTGATTGTGTGTATTGTAATTTCAATGGCTTTTGACCTCCAAGGTAAATACGGCGTCAAATGCTTTGGCACAATACCGAGAGGGTAAATATATGACTACTTGATATTATTTGTGATTTATAATAATTTTGGGAAATGTAATAAAAGATTACCACCTCCAAGTTTGCCAGCCTTTTGGTTGCTACCACAAGTAGTCGTCCAAAGCTTGCCAGTCGCCATCGTTGCCTTCACCATCACAATTTCCATGGCAAAGATTTTATCAAAAAAGGGCCACTACAAGATCGAAGCAAATCAAGAATTTCTCGCCTACGTAAATAATTTTACTGCCAACATTTTTATATTTTTTAAATAAATATGTTTTAGGGCTGCTCAAATGTATTTTCCTCATTTTTCTCCTGCATACCGGTCGCCGGTTCGATGTCGAGGAGTTTGGTTCAGTTCAATGTTGGAGGCAAGACGCAAATTACAAGTCTGGTATCGAGTGCTTTTGTGATGCTTGTAATGGTTGCCATCGGGCCACTTTTTGAACCTTTGCCAACGGTACTGATTTTTATTTACTATTTAATTATCGTTTAAATAAAAAAATATTTTTTTCCAGTGCGTGCTTGCTGCAATTTTGATCGTTACTTTGAAAGGAATGTTTTGGCAGGTGAAAGATTTCCCAAAAATTTTAAGACGGTCCAAAGTGGACGGTTTTGTCTGGATTGGAACTTTTTCAGTTGCAATTCTCTGGGATATTGACTTTGGTTTAGCTTTCGGTCTTTTTCTCTCGGCTGCCTCTGTTCTCCTCTACGCTCAAAAGCTGAAAGTCTGTGTTTTGGGAAAGGTCCCCTTCAGTGATATTTATCTCGACGTGCAACGCTACTTAATCGTAAGAGAAATAAATAAACCAAGAAAATAATAATTATATAAAATTTTGAGGTGGAGGAGGTTCAAGGAATAAAGATAATTCGCATTTCGGGAAGTTTGCACTTTGCAAACAAAAATCAGCTTGAGACAAAAATCACAAAATTGGTTCTGGGGAAAACCAGTGAAAAGAGGAAATACAGGGATGACAAGAAATTTGACACAACTCATGAATCAAGTGGTCTGGTAAAAAAATTGCAATTAATATGAACATATTACATAATTTAATTAATATCTTTACAGGCGCCGATTTTACAAGTAGTTTTGGATTTTTCTGGAGTATCCTTTGTCGACTCCTCAGCTACGGCATCGTTGAAAATGCTCAGGGACGATTTTCTTAGCAAGTTTGGACTTCAAATGTACCTGGCCAATTGCCCTGGTAAGTTTTCATTTTTCAATTATTTTTTAGGGGTTAAAAATAATTAAAATAATTTTCAGCTGCAATATTTGAGGCTCTGGTTAAGCTAGAATTTTTCACGCCGTCCTTCAAACAATGTGAACGCATTTTTCCTACTATTAATGATGCAGTATTATTTATTCAAGAACAAACAGAGAAATTTCACGATGAAGTTATTAATTTGTGAGTGGTTAACTCTGGAAAGTGTAATTAATATTTATTACTATAGTTAATGGAAAAAATAATTATTTTAGCACATTTACTTGTATGTTAAAAAAATTGGCGATAAATAATTAAGCAAAGCTACTGATTTTTTTTGTTGCTCAAAGAATATATATTCGAAAACAAACATAAAATTCTTATAGTTTAATTTATGAACAAATACTTTTTTTACGAAAATTATATTCCTATGGAAAACTTTTATAGGCTCCAGGTTTTTGATAATATGCCTAAAATTAAAAACATATTTTTGTCAAAACAGGTTAACTTAGGCGACCCTGTATTTGACCTAAAATACCGCTAAACGTGACCTTACACGACGCGTATGACAGACGCATATTGAAGAAAGTACGACGCGCCATCAACATTCAAACCGATTCAAACTCTGCTCATCCTGCGTCTCCATCTGCGGGCGGTTTCCGGAACCATTTCCTCCTCTCTCAACTCTCCTCTCGACTCCAGCTCCAGGCGGAGTTTGAGGTTTTCTTTATCCATTTGAGTGTTTGTGCGTGTCTGTACGAGTTGTGCCCCCGGTCGTGAGGGCGTCCGATGGCCGTGTGACCACCTTTGACCCAGGACAGCTGCCCAGAAGCGCGATGTTGGCCGCCGAGAGCGAGCGGTGTGGCTTGTGAACTTCCACTTTCGACGACAAACCGAGCGCGGACGCCTGGGGACATGCGGGCCCTGGGCCTCTTGTGGGGCCTCCTGCTGGGCCTGGCCGCCGCCGAAATGCTCAGTGAGTATTTTTCTTGCTTTTGAACGCGGGTTTCATTCATTTGCAAGACAGGAAACGAAAAATTCGCGGGCTAATCGGTTGCAGAGAAGGGATTGTTGTTATTTTGAATTAAGATCTAGAAGAGAATCTGATCGCCGGCATTGTTGATGCGGGGGCGTGGACTTGGACTATGGACTCTTATTGTTGGAATTTGGAGTATAATCGGGCCTTTTCATTAGGAACAACAACAATAAAAAATTACCAATAGTTCTTTCAAATTTTAAATTTATTCGAATTTTTTTATAATTATTAATTAATTGGAATGGCGAAAATTTAATTTGAAAAGCAAGCGATTAAATAATTATTTAGCAGAATTTATGAATTATTTATGATTTTTTTTTATTTTTAAATAAGTGAACTCAATGTAGAGCGAAAATTCAATTTTTCCTTTGTTAAATTCAATTACTAATTTTAGCTACAAAATTTTTCAAATTCTACTCTATTATCTTTCCTATTAATTTTTAAATTTTACCCAATTAATTTATTTTATTAAAAAAATAACTACCTTAGTTTTAAAAACTTTTAAATAAAAATTTTTAATTTAAACTCTTCTAATTTTCATTTCACAGTTTTTTCCTACTTTTTCAATTCTTTTTTAATTGTCTTTCATCAAAATTAATGAGAATATTTTATAGATTTTAATTGAAAATTAATGAAATTTCGAGCTTCTCGTGATATATCAATTTCAGTTTGATATTTGGCAATGTCTGCTTTGCGGTTTCCGACCGATAATAATTACGCCGACACATGATCAAAATTAATTATTCATGCGTGAAACGCGCCGGATCATAATTTGCAAATCCCATTTATGCCTGTGTATGATTAGTCTCGGATTTGGCAAAAACGGACACACACTCGAATCGACCTCCATCAGCATCCTGCTTAATATTCATTGAGTTGCAGGGCGTGCAATTTATTTTCAATAACTCGCTCCCTCGCCGCATTTGCATGCAAAACCTCCCATTAGTTTTTCCCTCCTCGGGCGTCATTTGCATTTTTCTCCTTTTCTTTAGGAGGAAGAAAGAATACACCTAGTTCAGCTTCAAACTTGCTTCGTTTAATGTTATTTTTCTTTCGCAATTTCGCCCGGTGTTGGGAAATTCGATTCAAAATCAATCATCCACACCAAACGCAGCAGCACGAAAATCTCCGTCGAGATTGCGAGGCTTCTGAAATTGGTACAGAAATTTCCTGCCGAACGTTGGCTTCAAGTGGGAAATAATTTCACTTCTGACGGCTGCCAATTCCAGCTTCCAAGAAGTTTTTATTTTGTGTCTTTTTCCAACAAATTTTAAATTACTATTAAATTCATTACAAATTAATTTATCCAATTTATCGTATTTGAAATTCTAGAGTTAAATTTATTTCCTTTTAAACATCAAACTTAAGGAAATTTTAGGACAACGTTAAAAACTTCAAAATTTGATAAAAACGAAGCTTGGAAATTGGCATCTTTTTCATGTTATTTTTACTCCACCCATATTTGCATAAAATATTTATCTGAATAGGCTTAATGACGTCCCTTTTGGAATTTTTTAAACGTTTAAAATTGATGTTTCATTGAGATGGGAAATTAAGTTCAATTTGTTGATGATAAATGTGAATTTTTACTCATAGAAAAATCGTAGTTTAATGACAATTAAACCTGTAATTGAATTTTATAAATCTCTGCAAAAATGTTCAACTGCTAATTTTTAAGGTTTTAAATCAATATCGTAATTTTGTTTAAAGTTTAACTGAGTTTAAAAAAACTATGACAAAAGATATCAAAAACTCTACTAAATAATACAAAATACAATTTATTTTGCATGCAAAATTTCGGAAGTAAAGAAGAAGAAAAAATTTAAAATGTTATTGTTAATTTTCAAAATTTTATTAATCTTATTTTTATTTATGAATCTAGAAGAATTTAAGGCGTAATCAGGAGATTGCCTGTTTTAAGAAAACCCCTTATAATCAGTTTTTTTTAAAGATAAAATTATTTCAAACGTGATAATAATTATATTGTTGTAGAGCATGCATTAGTTGCTGTTTATTCATACAGAAGAAAATAATTAAAATTAATTCTTAAGTCATTCAGTTGCTAAATAAATTATCCTCTTTGTCAATTTATTTATCTCTTCCACTGCATTTTCCCAAAGGAGGAAAACTCTCTTGATTTTGTATCGACAGCAAAATAAACAACATTAATAAGCTCTCGGAAAGTTTTCAAACTACCTCTTCTCTCTTTTACTCGTTCATTGTGTGCACAGGAGCTCTGGCTTTGACAAAAAAGTTTCGCCGGCACCTCTCTCTCTCTTTATACACATGTAACAACGGTGGAAACTTTTTATTTTTTATAAAAAGGCGAGTTGGAAATCGCTTTTTCATTCAGCGGAAAACGTGCCCAGAGTTGAAGCCAAAAAACCACCACTGTCAAAACAAGCGCAGAGGCGAACCAAGTATACGCGAGATATTATTATTATTTTTATCAGCTCGGCCTGCGGGGCGAATCGATGCGATGATGCCGTCGATCCGAGGGCAGGAAGGACAATAAGAGATAGGGAGCGCGAGTGGAGGAAATTGGAAATGCCGAGCGCGCAGAAAACAAGCGATGGCCGAGTGAATTTCCAGCGCGTTCTGCGGCCTCATTTCCGTTTACGTTCGACTCGAGGAATAGTTTGAAATATTATTATAGAAGAATAAAATAGGTTTCATTTGTTTGAATAGACATATTTTCTATTAATAAAGTTCCGATTGTTTCGATTCTGGTGTTCAAATATTTACGGAGTATAATTAGAAAAATTTATAATCTTTTTACAATGCAATATTTTTTTTTAAGTTTTGATAAAAAAAAGGAGATAATTTATTTTGATTCAAAGAAAGTCAAAAGATACGCATAACAATAAGAAAATTTATAAATAAATTATAAATTACAATAAATTTGTTGTATTTGTTACATTTAATTGGCAATTTTGTTGCTAAAATTCTTATATTTTTGTATCTATAAATAATTCATGTTCACAATTTTACATATAATATTGAAATATATTAGACAAGAAGTGCAGTGATATTTAAAAAAAATCTATATTCGATAAATTTTTGAGTGGGAGCTACTTTTTTTCAAAATTAAGTTAAAAAAACTCCGTGTTGGAAAGTTATGATTCTTTTAAACCGCGATTTATCTCTGACAATAAGCGAAATTAGTAATAGCCTTAATGAATTATGGGTGCAGCAGAGAAAATGTGTCCTACTTTAAAAAAAAAGTGATAAAGGAATGAAAAAAATTGAAGAAATACTCGGATTTTCAAATTATTGACAATTACAATGAAATAAATAATTAATTTAAGTATTTTTGCAGACAATGTTTTTTAAATTAATTGCAAAGTTTATCAATCATTTTGTTTCTAATTAATATCACCACCATAATTAACCATTGTTAGTTGTGTAATTTATGCTATATTATTTCCACTCGATATTATACAAAATGTTTACCTTCGTCAAGTTGCAAACTCCATTTCAATTTAATTACAGCTCGTCTTGACATCCAAATTAGGACAAACAGTAATCCGAACCCGGAGAGAATGGGAAAATTAATTCGCCTGCAGAAGCTGGCAGAAAGTTAGTGTGTTTGTGTGCGAGTGAACCTCGAGCTACGCGTCCAATTTTGATCGTCTCGGTTGGAGCGCAAAGTTGTGCCAACTAATTATTCAAACGCCGAAGCTTTTGACAGCGCAAAAGCTTCTCGCTTGCATCGCTAATGAGTGAACCAATATATATGAACGTGTCGATCTGCCTTGCTTCGGGCCCTTTGCATATATCGGATTCCGTGTCCGGATCGATTGGCTCAAAAGCTTTCTTCCTTTCATGTTTGAGTTCGGGAACTGCAGCCGTGGCACGAATTTGAGACGAGACGCACGACAAATATTGAATCAAGCGAAAGAAATTAGATTGGTTTGTCGGCGACGGCAAATGCTGTGAGGCGAAACAAAAATATCAAGTTGAAAGTAAAAACAGGAAGACTTTCCCGTCTCAAAATCAATTTCGTTTTCAAATATTTATACAAAAATTTTAATAGGATAAAATGTGTTTTTTATTGAAATACTTTATTTATGATTGCATTTATGACTCTAGTTTCTTTTTGGGTTGGACATTTGCCAGAATGTAGTGAGAGAAACGCTTTTTTACAGTGAAAAATTGGTTGGACGTTTCATAAATAAATAGCCGTCTTTGCCAATATATATTTCCACTTTTCCGGTTTCCAGACAAATTTAACGAGCAGCCTCTATTAAAAATTAAAAACCAACTCAAATTTTTACAGAAAAATTACAAGGTTGGTGTGGATTTTTAGGAAATTGAATGCATATTCAAAAGCTAGCAAAAAAAATATCCAAACAAATTCTCAAAAATTTGTAAAAGGGGTTGGGTTTTTTATTTAAATTCTATAACCAGAAGTTGAAATTGTCCAAATTTTTTATTGTAAATTTTATAAAATTCCTGTTAAAATATTTTATCAGATTTTTTTTTCATTTTCTGTTAAAGTAGTTTTATTTTATTTTTCAAAATATATCAATTAATCGCCTAATTTCCAAATTTTATTTCATTTTGCAGAGCAAGAGCTGATTTGAATAGCGTAATTTCAGAAGATAACAGGAATTTTCCACATTTCAGCTTCAAATAAGCTTTTGGCTTAAATGTTCGTATACCTGGCTTCCGCAGCGTTAAAAGCTTGATATGGTTGAAGCCGTTTTGCGCAGATTACAAAACTTCTGCGTGCTAATCCCACGTAAACTTTGAATTATCGTAGTTTAATGCAGTCTGTGCCGAGAGCAGAGCGCTTTTCGACGAGCAAAGTTGGCTCGTCAAATAATTTGAGTTCAACTCTTTTTCTGCTCTCGACTCCTTTTTTACCAACCTCGTACTTCGCGCGGACGACGGCGACATTCAGTTATAAGATTTCTCCAAGGACTTGTTTTTCTGAG